AATCTCCAACCCCCCTGCCACACGCAGGGCCACCAACCATTCCACCTAATGCTAGAGCAGACTGCCCAGGGCCCCATCCAATCTGGCTTTGAACACCTCCAGGGACGGGGCATCCACAACCTCCCTGGGCAGCTGTTCCAGTACCTCACCACTCTCTCCGTAAAGAATTTCCCCCTGACGTCCAACCTAAATCTCCCTTCCCTCAGCTTAAAACCATTTCCCCTTGTCCTGCTGTCACTCACCCTTTCAAAGAGTTGATTCCCCTCCTCTTTGTAGGCTCCCTTTAGGTACTGAAAGGCTGCAATGAGGTCACCCCGCAGCCTTCTTTTCTCCAGGCTGAACAAGCCCAGCTCCCTCAGCCTGTCCTCACAGGGGAGGTGCTCCAGTCCGCTGATCATCTTTGGTGTGGCCCTCCTCTGGACCCTCTCCAACAGCTCCCTGTCTTTCTTGTACTGGGGGCTCCAGACCTAGACGCAGTATTCCAGATGGGGCCTCACAAGAGCAGAGTAGAGGGGAACAGTCACCTCTCTGTCCCTGCTGGCCACCCCTCTTCTGATGGAGCCCAGGATCCCATTTGCCTTCCGAGCCGCAAGGGCACACTGCTGGCTCATGTTAAGTTTTTCGTCTACCAAGACCCCCAGGTCCTTCTCCACAGGGCTGCTCTCAAGGACCTCTCCTTCCAGTCTGTAGGGATGCTTGGGATTCCTCCGGCCCAAGTGCAAAACTCTGCACTTTGCTGTGTTGAACCTCATCAGGTTCACCCGGGCCCACCTTTCTAGCCTCTCGAGGTCCCTCTGACCTCCACTTCAACAGTGGATCAGTTCTGTCTGCAGCCTCAGTGCCTTAACTGTGGCTCTGATTTCTTTCACACATCTGATGCTTTACAAGAAAACCAAGCCCACACAAATAACAGTTAATTACTTGCCAAAGGAGCCTCCTTTGCCTTCAGTGAAGGAAATAGGAGAACAGTAGAATTCATTCTTTTACTGTATTTATTTATTTTATTTCAGGCTTTTAACAATCAGTCTCAAGACTGTGATGGGAATTCCTTTAGATGTTTTGTAGTGACCATGCCCATGTCCTCCTTTTCAGAAATATACAATGATTCCTGCAGCACAGCTTCGGTTGAGTCGGACACCAAGGAGAGTGAGGTGGCTAAAACCTTCCCAGCAGAACAGAGGGCTGGCAGCTGAATGGCAGGACAAGCCTTCCTCAGGACCCTCTCCATCTCTTTGTTTATTTTGGGTTGACACTGGATCAAAGTTGCCTTTCTCACAAGCTCTGAGCTTCATAATTCTCTGAAACTTCATTAACATGGACAGATGAGAGGAAAAAGAGGAACATTAAACATCCAGACAGCATCAAGAACCATCTTCAGTATTAAAGGAGAAAAATGCTTCTTGCATTGTTTATCAAACTGTTTCAGAAGATGTGGCCTAAATTAGGTCGACAGCAGAGCTGAAGAGTTACTATGCACGCACCTTTTGGCAACTTTCCTTGAACACCAAGTTACTGCAGAGGGACACATCCATGGTTTTGAGTTCTTGCTCTACCGTGGGTCACTTGGAGGTTTTTCCATTTGCTTGCCTCAGTAGCTGTGCCTTCCCCACCCTCCTTAATTACAGCTAATAGATCACAAATGTGCCCTTTATGCTGATGGTCATCACCAAAACTGTCACACTTTAGATTGGATGTAGAAAGAAAACTTCTGACTTGGACCATCAGAGAGGCTTCATGCGGGAATGGCACAGTGAACAACCTGTTGCATTCAGCATTAGTTTGAGATGATGCAGATGGCAACGTGATATAAGGTGAAGATGCAGTTCTTAGCCAAGAGGCAAAGACATTGTGACAGCTACTGTGACACAGAACATCTTTAAGTCTTTTTACAACATATGTCATTCCTCTGCGCCCTCTGCAGTCTGTGGTTGCTGGTTCACAATCCTTTGCGTTTGGTGCCGAGAATTCAAATGAATGCCATTTAATGTCATATGTTTGAGTAGACTGCATGCTTTCTTTTTGTGCTAGGCTATGGAGTAGATACATTTCATTCCCCATATGGAATATATTTAAGCATCACAAATAGACAGTGAGCATTAGATGCTCCAATGAGTGGGTAAAGTGTAGTTGTTAAATACTTATTTCCAGGACATTTGGTTATAGGACTGTACCAAATCTCTGCCACATAAGGATGTAATGTACTATATGAAGTGATTACAGATTTTAATATTCCTTTACAAGCCATTAGCTCATTTAGAGCAGCTGTTAAGGCATGAAAGCATTTTGATGGTAACTGGATCTTAGGTCCCACAAAAGCTGCTAGTACTTTAGTTAAGATTAGTATTGACAAAGGGTTGCAAACTGGTAAAGATCAGACAGGAATAAGTGACCCTAGGAGATCAAGAATTGGTGATTGGCTTTTACTGTTAGAGATTTTCTGTTTAACCCTAAGAATAGTGATGCTCTATGTAAATAATAAAAGGGACAAAAGCACTAAAAATGGAGATGAAGCAAAACCAAAAATCACTCCTTGACAAAATAATAAGAGTCTGCAACATTTCTGTTATCCTCTTTGCAGGGACCTGAACATTTTTCTTTGTGTTTCAGTGAAGGCTGGTATTGCAAATATCTTAGTGTGTGAGTCAGGATAGCTGTGAAGCAAGTAAATAGTCCCATTCAAGAAAAAGCCTCGAAGTAAGTAGATGAAGGTTTATTCAGATTATTATTATTATTATTATTTACCTGTGAAGGATTACTAGTTAATTATTAGTTGCACTGTGGTAGTGAATTCCCATGAATAATGTTCTTCCAACCCTCAGTATCTAAACTCTGTGGTTTCTAATGGTTTTTATTCATGACAAAAGGATTTGAGAGTTCTGTACCTTTTTCAAAGCTAATTTTGTCCTACAGAGATAAGAGCTTGTACATTTTGTGCTGGTCACCTTAAAAATGACCTGTAGGCTCCCAGGAACATGACTCCTGTTAAAATCTGCTGAAGTTATTAGCACCATGAGGGAAGAACTGATTCCTTTCAGTCCCCCCCAAGGAAATGTGCAGTGATACATATATATATATATAAAATTTTATTTTTTTTGTAGTGCAATCATTTAATCCTCTCCATAAAATGACTTCATTTTTGTTTCTATATTACTTTCAGTATTTTTTGCACGGCCTGCTAACAGTGCTCCTGTCTACCCTTGCCCTAAGCACAGGAGAGGAAAGGGGAAGGGAGCTTTGATTGCACATTAAGTAAGTATAGTAAGATTTGTGTGTGAGCGAGAGAGAGAGATGGGGAAGGGCTACCCTGTGTATGTGAAACTGCCAAAACTAGTATTTGTGACATTACACACTCATGGAAAGACCCCAACTTGCACTTCGGAGTTTCAAGTGAAGGAATCTCATTCTAATGGTGAAATAACAGTGGGAATTCTTTGTTTGAACTGGAGATGGAAAATCAGGTATTGTGAATCCTCATCCTACCTCTGCTGTGTGCAGACTGACAGTGAGATATTCCTATAGCCCTGGTGTCTCAGTATCTTTGAGTAAAATGGGAGACACTGAATTTCCCTCATATCCAATTCTGATGCGGAACTCTAGTATGGATTCAAAAACTAAAGACCCTTCAGGTGAAAGCAAAGCATTCATCCCTATGTCCCACTGTGCCCTACAACAGTGTCAGTGGTGGCATGGAGTATGGAGTAGTCTGGAGCTGAAGCAGGGAAGTAGACTGCTACAAATGTGTCTCGTGTCTCCCAGCACACTGACTCACTGCAAAGGTATGGGCTGGGTTATTACAATTCTCATTCCTACTTTGCTTTTGAATTATTATTTTTTTCCAAAATTTCACATTTTTCCTGTTTGACCAAAGGTTAAGTCACTCCTGCACTATGAATGTCCTGAGGATGGCTAGTCACTCCCTGCCCCATGGCTGTAAGCAGTACATGAGATTTTCAGCAACCTCACATCCTTGAAAGTATTCCGTCTGCTGGTTTGGTTATAGTTGGGCAATGGACTCCTTCATTACTGGAGGTAGTGACAAATTGGTATACGGGCAATCACCATGATGTCAATCAAGGCCAGAAAGTAACCAGGCTTGATCCTCTCCTTCTTTCACTGCCTAACACCACTGAATGGAGTATCAGACCAATGCTTGTTGTCTGGGCCATAAGTGGCTGCAGCCCAATCTTGTCTGGACATTGGCTTATGTTGCCAGTCACAACAAAGCTGTGTGCGTGGTCTTATATTCTGTTTGTGTACGTAATGAAAAGCCATTCTTTTATCCATTGTTTTCTTAAGTCTCTGAGATTACAAGCAGGATTGAGTATGAAAAAGGCCTTGTTTTTCCTTTCCAAAAATACTCAAAGCCTGATTTCTAATATATGTATTATTAGAAATATTTAAGGAGAAGAAAAAGAGAGCCAAATTCAGTGTTTCTTCTTGCAGCTAGAGCTGAAATAGCTGCCAAGATTTCCTCTCCCCAGCTAAGAATTGGTACAGTTTGTTTCTTACATATTTTCCATTGTGTTGATAATGATGTATTTGTATATTGTGGCTGATGAGAGATAATCAGACAGGGAAAGAGCACAGAATTACCTGTTCTTTTTTCCAGTCAAGATGAATGTATGAAATTATTACAAGAAAACAAGTGTGCAAATGAGCTTTCTGTAATTCTGACCTGTGTAAAACCACACTTTGTTTGAAATTTATAAAAACTATAACTAGTACAAAACATTATGGTTGATGTCTCTGTATGAAGCAACAATTCAAATGAGATTTCTTTCTATTCAGAAGAAATGAGTTTCGGTAAAGTCCCATCAACACACCTGACAAAAAAAAAACAAACAACCATGCATTTATCCGACTGAACTTTATGTGTGAATCATAAAAAAACTGTTGTTTTAAATTTTCTTAGCCTCTCTCTCTTATTCATGTTCCTGAATTTTTGGGACTGTTAGGAGAGTGCAAAAGTTTACCAAGACATGTCAGAGTTGTGCGTGCTGATGTTCAGGGTCATGAGGCAAGGAATGGGATGATTTTAATGCAGATATCCTCACAATATCTTCATACCTTTGGCTACCAGTGGCTTATTGAGGGGGGCTAATTGGCACAAATATGTGTTGTGGATCATATAGGAGGGCAGGGAAGTACAAATGAGAATGTAGAAACACAATGGAAATACAGAGAGCAAAATAAATTTGAGCTAATTTCAGGCAGCATCCAGGTTTCTAGGAGCAAACTTCACTTCATCTGAGTTTACAGGTCATTGGCCTCAGTGTTACTGCACTTTAATTCTGGTATGAGAGAAAGAAGAATCAGGACTACAAGAGTCCCTGCATTCTTTCCTCTTATTCTATGAGTTTATCATCTCTTTTCTACTTCCATTAAGCTTCTAGCTTTATCAGGCCTCATGGCGAGGACGCGGGGCTGGAAATCCATCCACACAAATGTGCAGGTAAAATGTTCTGCTGCAGATCGCTGGCACGTGGCCACACACACTGGGACCTGCCTGTGCAACTCTTGTTCTGGCTTGGCACAGTTCACAGAGGATATTTCATGGAACACAGTAGATCATTGCTGTTTGCTGGGGAATATGTTTGGACACAATGCCAACGGTGAGCCACCTTGGCTGCACCGGCCAGCAAAGGCTGTCAGCAGCCCCAGGTAGAACCAGAGCCCCTTTGAGACTTTGCTTAGTCCTGCCTCACTTTTAACAGGTTCTGAGGAGAAAGCCAGAGAACACGCCTTTCCCTTCTGTGCCTTAATTTCAAAGGAGGAATTTACCCCAAAGAAACTTTTTTTCTTTTAAAAGAGCATGGGAGAAAGTATTGATTTACAGGTCTCAGCCCTCCAGTGGGGTGCAGCTGCAGTCTGCTCTCAGTAACCAGAACTGGAGAAAAGAGCATGAAGTTCTACATGGCCTTACAGAGCACCAGGCCTTGGCTGTAGGTAAGAGCCTGTCCTCTGCTGCACTAACCCAGCAGTCCTTTCTGTTTCCACTCTCCTTCTTAATCAGCAGCTATTTCTTTTTGCATTAGTTTATAGATGAGCAGCATTGGATTCCCCCCTCCCTCCCCACCTCCTTTCCACCCATGTGACTGAGCACTCCCTGAATCAAGTGAAACTTTGCAGTCCCCAGTAAACCTTTATTTCCTTTCTGCTGCACCACAGCGAGAAGCAGCATCTCTTGGTCTCACAGCTGTACTGACCATGGGAAGGAGTAAATCACACTTGGTCTTGCTAGCCTTTGCCTGCGGTGAGTCACATCTTCCATCATTTCTCTATAAAAAAGAGACAGATTATTTTCTTTCTTTGCACTTATGAGAGGAGCTAATAGACTGAAAACTGGAAACAGTCTTGCAGCTAGCAATAAGGTGATTTTAATGAAGTCCCACCAGAAAGAAATAACTATAACTGCATTTAATTATAGCTGATGTAAACTTAATCTAATGTTTTCTCTTGTATTTTGCACTCTGTGGTGACAAGAACTCTGTGTGATTGAGTCAGCTCAAAATAGTATTAGAAGCAGGCTTATTTATATTTGCTTTCCCTAATTAAGTATGATGTCCAGCAGAATTGACTGAACATCTTGAGTGAGATAAGCAAAAAAAAAGACAAAAAAAAACACATAAAGAAACGTTGCTTGTTTGTTTGTCTGTAGTGCAAGATGCAGGGCGTGAGGAAAGCAAGAGCAAGGCAGGGGGCTCTGGGAAGTCTGGGACAAGCTGGGACTTACCCAACTACAAACTACATCAAAGTGACCATTTGATCCTTAGTGCTTGTCCCTGAAAATCTGAGGAGTGAGCCTGTTCAAGGATGTGTCTTAGCATGTAAAGTCACATGCACCTGCAGCTGTACAAAATCTACTTGGCACAGGAAGACAGAGAGAAATTTAATCAGTGTACTGGCTAAGGGTTTTTGTTTGCTGGTGGAGTGCTGGGTTTCTGTGGTGTGCTTTGCTACCTGCATGCACAGCTCACACCAGCAACAACCCCTGCTCCTCTCCCAGCTCTGCAATGGCAGCGCAGTGAGCAGGGGAGCAGTGCAGGACTTCACCACACACAGAGCTCCAGCCGCATCTGCTCTACTTTCTGACACCTGCCTCACAGCCACAGTCTGCTGAAGTGACTCCAAAATGTATGCAAACTTGGAGAAGTAACTCAGTGGTCAGCAGGGATATCTTTGGCCAGGATGAACATTCTTGCTCAGTTGCTATTCATTCATTTTTGATAGTTCCTTTAGTAATTTGTTGTGATCTTTCATTAATGCCACGAACTCTTTCTATGCAGGTAGGGAATTAAAAAGAATCAGAGTTTAGGGGAGGAGAGTCTACAGGGTTGGAGGTTTAAGAAACTGCTCCTGTGTTTGAAGTAAATTATATTAGAGAGAACCAAAGCCTCTCAGAATATCTTGGTGCTTTTCCTGTTCCTCAAGAGCTCAAATCAAAGCAGCCAGAACCAGCAAGAGTCTTTTCTGTAGGAGCTGGGTCAGGTTTTTGTGTCTGTAACTAGCACAAAATCTGTCACCCAAACACAGGCATTTCTTCTGGGCAGCATAAAGCAGAACAAACTGTGGGTGTGTGGTTAGGCAAGAAGGGTCAAAAATCCCCAGCAAGAGGTTCTTCCACCCTCTGCATTATGGGCTGGCAGGCTGAGACATTTTACAGCCAGATCAAGCCACTTCCACCTTGGTTCCTTTGAACAGATTAGCTGTGTGCCTCTGCCAGTGTTGATTCTCACTGGAGAGTCAGCAGAGCTCAGCACTGCTCCTCTGCTCCCTTGTGAGGAGCTGTAGGATATCACAAGGCCTCCCCTCGGCCCCTTCTCTGGGCTGAAAGAACCAAGTGACCTCATATAACTTTCCCTCTAGACCCTTCATCATCCTTGTAGTCCTCCTTTGGATGCTAGTGGATGGAGGGAAAACCTGAAACTTCCTCTGTCACAATGCATTGGACTTCGACTCCAGACCCAGATTAGGGATGGCAAATTTCTCAGAGAAGAAATGGAAGCTAACTGGAGGATGCAGAGGTGCAATTTGTTGTTGCTTTGTGGCCACTTTTGATGGCCAAGATCATTGGGTTGGCAGAGAGCAATCTTTACTCATCCCTGGGAAGACTTTCTGAGATCAGTGGCCAAATGTGTTTTGTGATGACCCAAACCAACAGGTTTGGTAGCATGGGCACGGCCCAACAGAGAGCTCAAAATGCTGGGTAGAGCTAAGCTGGAGGATACTGACAAGTCACCTGGAGAGTACGAGCAACAGGCCATCCTAGAGGTGTTTCTGGTTTTACTCCTCAGTGACCCCATTGCGCTGAATATTTTTCTGATGAAATGACTTTCCAGGGAAAATGAAGTTCCATTTAAAAGCTATGGACAACATCCAGGTGTTAGGGAAATGATGTTTCTTTCCTTCCATGCCCATAAATTTTCGTGTTACATAGTCAGTAACCAAATTCAATCTGTTAATTAAAAACTGAGAAATACTGACTACTTAAGGCTTACATAAATTCAAGTATGAGTTGTTTCACAAACATACATGGTTAAAAAAAAAAAAAGAGTGAAAATTGCAGCTTCTTCTTTCTGTTTCTATTGTGTTACTTAGATTAAATTACATGTAGCTGGTACACAGCAACTGCTCTGGTTTTCCACTGGTCTGATCGAGATGAGCATACAGAGAAGAAGTTACTTCTCAGCTTTGACAGCAGGTGTGGTAAAGGCAAGGAAAAAGAGAGAAAATGAACTAAAATATTATATTAATTACAGCACTTTCAGTTCCTTCTGATAAAATGTAATATCAGAGGGATCTGTCCTCATTTTTGTGACTTTTCAATTGTACAAACTTGTTTTTCTCTGATGATAACAGCTACATTTGCAGTCAAGTGTATGCAGTTCATTACGGAGGTGAAACCAGGCAAGTTTAGGCAAGTTTGGGAATATGGAGCATCCCTCTCCACTTCTTCTCTATTATAGCCATTTATAAGGGAAAATTAGACTTTTGGATTCTTTCTGTCTTCAGACTGGAGAATTCATCTCTGTCCTCCAGCAAATTTAATCAGTAAAGCATTTAACTACATGTAAAGCCTCATGCACATCAAAGAACACATTTATGTCCATGACTTGTGGCTTTTAGCTTGATCTTGTCTTTATAGTGCCTTGTTGCATACTCAGAATCAAAGATTTAAGTTGAACAATTGTGAACTTCATCTCTTTTTACAGTGTACATTATCCGCCTTGTCCTCCCTTTGTTAGTTACATATAGGAACTAGATCTTTTCCATTTTGCAAGGAATGCATTTCTGTAAATGTTATAAAATGCCAGTGTGATTTTCGTGCTGTGACTATTTTCAGATGCGGTTCAAAAAACCCCTGAAAGCTGTACCCTCAAATTTGTTTCTCATTGCCGAAAAAGCATTACTAAGAGGGCTCATCTTTCCCTGGGTATCTCCCATGAGGAAGAACTTGAGGGGTCAGGCTGCCGTATCTGCATCAGCACCATAAACAAATTCCTGGAATTTCTGCCTTCCAGTCTATTCTGAATCATCATAAGATCACTATGTTTCCTCACTTCTTTCACATACAAAAAATGTTCCCTTTCCCCATGCTTTGTTTGTGACTAACCAACCACCTCTTCACTTGTTATACTTGGATTTCATTTGAACAGCAACCATAGTGGAACAAGTTGTCTCTTACACCTTGATAATTTACTCCCAGCAGATCTTGCTGTATTGTTGTGTACAAAGGAATTCATGTACAGTGTGGGGATTGTGCAAGATCTGTTCACACCTCTGTAGCACCCGCTGTCTTCTTCAGCAGTCAGTGCAGCATGTGGGGAGTAAGGAGCCAGTGTGCTGCCTCTGCAGTGGATATATTCAGAGGTGTGAAGATTGGGGAAGCAGTGCAAAATTATGTCTGCTTGTACTCTCCTATCATGACATTAAGCCAAAGGAAGAATAAAGTCATGATAACAAAATGGGAGCAGTTATGTTGCAAATATCAGCAAGAATGTTAAATGCAATGGTTTTAGACTACTGACTTTACATTTCTTTGCAGCATATTCTTCCTGCTGTGCTGAAGTGGCCTTGGGTGTCAGGCTGTCTCCACAAACCACGTCCTTCCACCATACCATTACTTCTGCTCTGCCACTTTCTGTTTATCATTCCCCACCCCATCAAAGCACCACAGTTCAACCTAACAGCACAGGCTCCATAAACCATACAACTATTCTGCAGACAGCAGACCAACGCTGGGTAACAACAGCACCAGCCTCTCATATGACAGCCCAGGCAGGAGCAAATACCAGCAAAGCATATGGCCAGACATCTTCCACAGCAGTAACCTCAACTGCAGCAAACACAGCTGCATCTGGCCAGGCTACAACCCAGGCAATGGAAACAGTTACACCAGCTGTGAAAAACACAACTGTGTCCCCAGACAACCAAATCACAACACATGTGGACACAGTTACAAACACAACCATAGAGAATACAACATCAAAGATACAAACAACAACTACAGCCATAAATACTACAGCCACTACTAACAGTACTGCAAATCCCACCACAAGCTCAGCTAATCACACAACTTCTGGAAGTCCAACAGCCACAGCCATGACCAACACAACCACCACTCATCAGGGGATTCATACAACCATCCAATCTACTACAATGATGGTGAGACCCACTCTAGCACCACAGCCTTCTCCCATCCCAACTGGCATATACACCATTTCCAGCAGCAACAAGACCTGCATCAAAGCAGTGATGGGTTTGCAACTGATGGCTCTAAGTACACAGAAGGTGAGGTGAAAGCATTGTGAGGCTAAGCCTTATAAAGACTACTTCATTTGCTGGAATATATTCTATTCCTTTAAAAGCCATTTACAGAAATTAAGTTATATGATAAAAATAGCTGGTTTGTTGCTAGTCTGAAGACTTTTTTGTGACACAGCATCTCAACTGCTGTACTTTGGTTTGCATAATGATGTCAGAGAGTATATAGGTACTTTCTTATTTCAGCAGTATATCCATGGTAGCAATATTTGGGAGGGAGATTGACTCCAGCATGATTCCTTTTTCCCAGAATGGGAGATTAGTTAAAATCTGAAGTGACATCAGTGAAGAGTTTAAAATAGCAAGTTTCAATGAGAGAGATAAATTGTCAGCTCACAGACTTGTTTGGATTCAGAGATGATTCGTCTCAGTGCTGAAAAATGGAGGTTTTGGGACCATGAGGTCAGCCAGCTGGATCAGTACAGGGGTTCTGGGAAACTGCTACCCTCTCTTGGCATTGATCCATGGTGAATGATTCAGCAAAAGATGTAAAAAACCCTGAAATTGTGATGATGGCCTTCCCAATAACAGTTTTGTAACCTCCATTAATATAGCCATTGGGCATTGGTCTGTTAATCCAACCACATAATTAAAACCCCAAACATATTAACCTGCATGTTTCATGTTAAGTTTTTCCCCTCCACTTCATAAATAGCCCCACAATGTCCTCATTTCTCCACAGAAGCAGATGGAGTACCTGACTGTCGACCCCAACACCACCCAGATATCTGGAAGCTGTGGGATGGTGCAGTCTGTGCTGAACATCACTTTCATTGGAGGATTTATAAGCTTTGTCTTTGTAAAGGTAATTGTATTTAGTGGGAACAAGGGTTTAGGTCTGGGGAATGGGAACCCAGGCTGCCCCTGATCCACTTCCAGCCAGAACAGTGATGTGCAGTGTGCTGTAGAAAAGGGCATTTCATCCATCTTAGTGCTAGTTGTCCTGTCATTCCCAAGAGCCTGGATTTATAGAACCGTGATTAATTCAGTCCAGGAGAGATTGTAGGCCACCTGGCCCAGTCCCCAGCTCAGAGCAGAGCTACTTTCAGTGTTTCATCCCATCTTGTTTATTGGAACTCTGAATTTTGAAGGGTTCATATGTGTAATAAAGGATAAAGAATAAGGCTAAATGTTCTGCCAAACTAGCAATACAAAATATAGATTAGCCCTAAGCAAAATCTGCAACTCATATTTACAGTGGTAAAATCTAATTGGGGGAGGGGAAGGCCATGTCTGATGCTTGCATTGGAGTGGGACAGAGTGGGAGTGGGATTGGAGCTACTGTGCAGAAGCAAGGTGTGTGTGCTGGAAGCTCTGAGTCATGCTGTCAAGTTGTCCTTATGAAATGGTATCTCTGAGACAACCTGGATGTATATGGAATTAGTCATTTGCTTCCCATAAATGCTGCCCAGGCAAAAGTTGAATGTGGTTGTTAAATCCAAAGGGCAGCCTATGAAGGTGTATGTACCCAGAAGCCACAGCCTGTCCAGAGTCCAGAGGGCCTAATTTCTTCTCCTTTCTGATTAGAAGATTTCAAAGAACTGAACTGCAACAAATAAGTGCCCTTAAAATGCACCAGTCCAGGGAAACTTACAAATATACACAGAAACTTGAGCAAGAGATAGGCCTATGCTTTCCTAGTATGAAAATTAGTGTTTATTTTGATGTGATGTGTATTGATACCACATTTCCAGCTCAAGCTGCATTGCATGCAGACAGGTCTTCAACATAACCTACTATGAGTATTGCTGATATTAAAACTACAGGAGAAAACTGCCAGAGGTCAGTCATGCTCCAAGAGGCAACTGTAAATTTTATCACAGCTGAATATTGGTCATTAATACTTGGGAAAGCTTTCAATCAATAATTGTCTTGATTTTTGTTGATGACTGAAAGACATTTAAAAGTTACAAAGGAAAGTGCTGTTTTAGAACAAAGAATCAGTTCAGACCATGAGTGTTTGGTTTAAAAGTATGCTTTCTGCAACAAGGGTAGTGTTCTCTGTGTTAGATTCTTAGAAAAAGTCCAGTGATTCAAGTACCCATAAAAGTACCAGCTCACAGCAGAGCTAAGGAGAGTGATGTGAACCTTTTGACCTCTCTTGTCCTGAAAAAGATGGTTATTGGCACAGCATTATGCAATCCACCCAAGATAAGTCTCAAGAGAGCAGCAGGGCACGGCTTAGCTTTCTTTGAAATGCAAGTTATTAAGAAATTGTTTTGCTGCCGTTTCTTATGTGTTTGGCCTCTCCAGCTGCTGCAGTGCTGACTTTGAACCAGGAGTGCTATAGAGGTGGCACTTCTGATTTGCAGGAGTAAAGGTGGAGCTGGGCCAGGGGCTGTGGTGTGGCCATAGGGAGGTGAGAAGCTCTGTACTCACTGCTGCCAGGTGCCTTTGGTAAAGAACTTGACAAAGGGAAGTTTCATAACCAACCCACAATACATGAAGTAGGAACAGGCATTTATCCTGAGCAAAGTCAATAACTCTGTCCAAACAGAAGGTAATGCTGCTGCCAAAAAAATGTGTTATTTGACCTATTTATGTCTTTAAGTAGAGTAATGCTGAGAACCACTTTATTTCTTAAACTTCTTTCACAGTCTATCCTACCAGCATTAAAACTGCAGGACATTAAATGTGAGTGCACAGAAGAGATTCATGTTTGCTACTACTTAGCCACCAGCTGCAGTCACCAATCTCTATGTGCTCAGAGCTGGAATTAAAACCAATAGCAGGGAAGCTACATAGAGACTCACAGCATGCTCCAGCACTGCTAGGAGTGAAAATCCCCTGGGGCTTTCTGTCATGCTTTGGCTGCCCAAGGCAGGAGAGTGTTCAGTTTGCACCAGGGTTTTGGAACATGGACAGGCAAAGTCCAGCTGGAAATTTTGTTTTGTGCTGTAGTACCAGGTGCTTTCCATGTTGGCAGACTGTAGGCATATGGAATAAAGCCAGCCAGCACCAACAGGGTAGAATATAACAGTTATTTCTTCCCTATATAGACAATCAAGGCTGTTTCCTCATTTGTAGTGACTTCTATTCATAGACAAAGTAGAAAACGAGCAGTATCTCTGTGAAGGGCTCCTGTCTCTGCTGGTTGCTGCCCTCTTCTGGTTCAAAGCAATGATAAACACAGAAGCATGGCTGCTTTCTGCCGTTTGCTCACATAAAGGCCATCGATGCATAAACTGCACAGCAGTGCTGGAGTCCTGGGTACTTTAAAATATATTACCATAGGTTCTGCAAGCAATCACCTTTAGGTCAGCAGGGATCAATTAACTGCAGGATTAACAATGCAAGCATTGCTGGGACCCTCAATGAAAGCAAAACAGGTGGATAAAAATAAAACTCTCTTACCACATGCGTTATGCAATATATAACACTTGCTTAACCCCCTCCTACTTTTGGCTACAACAAGACACACAAATGTCTAGCTTGAGCAATGTGTGCAAAAGCACATCTGCATGTCTGGTTTCACTACACTGAGCAAAACTGGTGATGTATCCGAGATCACAGCGTTATGCTGGCTACTTGTCTACTAATGATTTGGAAAAGAAAATACAATACATCCAGGCAAGCTGGTTCACAAGTCTTCAAGGTGATGCTTTGAAAAGTCTTTATTTGAGAACCTTTTTTGCAAGCATTTTGCTGTGGTGAACTTTATTTTTTTCTACAAATATAGGGATGTAGTAGGAATAAAGATACATCATCTTTTGCAGAAAGATCCAACATACTATGTCAGTACAATTGAGGCTGAATTACAGTTACCTTCTGAAGGTCAGTGCTTTTATGTTTAATGTTCACTGTGTTAAATTCCTATCAAACAATTCTGGGTGTGGGATAGACTTTCACATTTTAAAACTCTGAATGCTGCAAATTATGTATTCATTAGGCTTTCAACATGTCATTCACCTAAATGTCATGGCATGAAAATGGAAAAGAGGTGACCAAGCTGTAGTTTCATTATTTTCTTTTAATTTCCCTTTTACCTTCAAAAAATCTCCCTTCACTTTCACCACTTTTTCAGAATAAAATTTAGGATCCAAAATGCCAAAATATCAATTTTCCTGGGCGTTGCTTAATGCAGATTGCAGCAAACACAAGATCATCAGCCTAATCATCAGTTGAAGTTTTCATATGGACTGTCAGTCCTCCACTGTGGTGCTGGTGAGAGATATTATGTTTCCACCCTGTTGTTACTGCCTCTCTGCTAGATGTTGCTGTTGTCCACAAGCAGCACTGTTGCAGTGAACAGCCCTGCATCTTTTTCAGACCCAAGCTTGGCTGAGTCATCCATTGGTAATTAAAGCACTCATTTAAACACAGACAAAATTAACTTATATGCTACAGGGAAAACATCTGTGCTTTTGTAACAACTCTGACACTGCTACTGAACCTCCATTTTATCTCAGGAAGCTTCTGGTTGTGCAGCATTATTTTGGATGCCCATTTATCACTGTCTCTGTCTTTATGACCTCCAGGTATACGTTATTACATAGCCATACGCCAGCAGCATTTTACAGCAAAGCTGGGGAATTCCTTTAAGTGTGCCAGCAAGCAAACCTTTGGCTTGGAGAGAACCTACCAGCTATACATTGTTAACATGCAACTGCAGGCCTTTGATATTATTGGCAACCAGTTTGGAAAAGGTAAGTAATGTGGAACTATTTTCCACCCTTCTGAGATCAAATTATCAGCAATCCAGTAGACCGAGGTATCTCCTTCTGCTAGATTTTAAACATACAGACTTCTTCCCAGATACTGTATCCTGCCTGCTGCTGTAGTTTCACTCTCTTTCCAATCATTTTCAACACTGTGCTAATACCCATGGCAAAGCATCTTTCCCTTCTGAATTTAATAACTTCCATTTCCCATTTGCATTAAAAATGTTCAGCTGGACAGCCACCATTTTATTTCTCTCTACTCTTTTTTTCTCAGGTGAGCTGTGCTCACCACCATTTCATTGGCTTTTTCCAGCCCCTCATACATAATACAGATCAGTTCAAGGTCACTGCCCTCAATATGTTTAGCTATTTTGAAAAGCTTTTGACAGCCCATGACATCCCACAGCTGCAGCAGTGAAACTGCCAATTAGTAAGGGATATTTGTCAATGCAGGATGATACTTGCAGAGCAGCTGTATCTAGAAATGATGAAATGTGCCTCTGAGGAGGAGCACAACTGTCACACTTACTAGTTTCAGAATTAAAATATGATGGTTATTTGTCTGGGTTTTGAGTATACACATCCATGTAGTTTAGTACTACCTGGTGCAAAGACAGAGACAGACCAGTACTGACACTCGTGGTCCCTGAATTGCTCGTGCTGGGAGAATGTACTGGAGCTCCTCACAGCTTCTTCCCTATGCCCACCCTTGAGTTTTCTTCTGCAGGGAAATGAGGCATTGCCATCCATGTTCTTGTCAGGATGCAGACGGGAACTGGATGGGGTGTGGGGTCCAGGACTGCGGGTGACCTTGGAAATCCCCATGTCTCACAGTATGGGTACTCTGTTCATTGCCTTACTTTTAGGAGGTTCATGAAAAATCCTACACAGAAGAGAGTCTCAGTGGTACCCTGAGTTCTCCTTCAAATAGTACACGTTTCTGGGACTTCCGCTCAGGGTATTTCCATACAGGAACTCATGTGGGCAGATGATTTTTATCAGCAATCCAGCCCTCTACATGCACTAATAAAACTGACTTTCTGAATGCTTACAAAATATAGCGTCTGCTTTCTTCTTAGTTTAGATCTGTCTTTTGACTTAGTTTGGCTCTTCTATTGTTAGTTTAAAATTTTGGTTTCTTATTCTAGAAGGAATATAATGAGAAACTACATCTGGAACTGTTTTAAGACACAGAAGTTTTTTTTATAAACTTTCTTTAGGTTCTTAAAAGCCCCACTGAGAATCCAGTCTGTGCTCTCAGGCTTCTGAAGACTTTTTAACAGAACAAAGCTGAGCTGGAACAACTCGTAGGACCCCATCTGGTCCTACATTCCCATTTGAATGTGCACAATTAATTAGTTCAGATATAGCTTCTGGTGGCCTCACCTCTAGCAGAGACAGTTTAGAAATACTCTGTCTTTCCAGGGACAGGCTAACCTCTGCTAGCCAATACCATTTGGTACAAAATTAAACTAGTTTTGCTCTTAATCAAAGGGCTGAGAATGCAGATACCATCCTTGAAATAATTCTCCAGTGGCCGTGAAATAGTTATAAAGCTGTTACCTACATCTGCTGTGTATCAAGATTTTGAAAGATTAGATTCCCAGTAAAAGAATAGTTCCATAAAGTAAGCACATCACCAGCTTCCTCCCTGTTGGTTTCTTGAGACTGCTGTTTTCATTTCTGTTTATCCAGATTTGCTTATAAGGGAAAGAAAAAGAAAGCATCATTGATTTCAAGATACTTATAATTTTGTATAGGTTACAGCAGCATTACATCAACAGCTTGGCCTGTTTGACTCTGAAAAGCTGTAAAAATGTCTTCTGAACTCTATTTCCTTTTTACTGGGCAGAAACAATTAGAAGCCACAAAGCAGTAGTTTTTATCCATCCAATATGTGTCTTGCTCATTATTTTCAGACTTGCACATTGTAGCATCATGCTCCACATCCGCTATGAGCAAAAAAGCCTACTGTGTATGTACCCATCTTGGCAGTAAAACAATTACTGTGGGTATGAAAAAGTCACTCTCCAGAGAAGCATGTAGCTATTTACAGGCCAAATATTGTTTTATTGGGATAAGATTCATCAGAGATAAAATCATGTTAAGCATAGCTTAGAATAAGAAGAAAGGTCTTGAGAATCTCTGGCTTGTATTTGCTGACTTTCTAGAATATGGATGCATAGTCTAGAAATACGGTCCTCTACTCTAATGCATTGTCTGATCCTTTTTTATTTTCAGAAGAAGAATGTTTCCTTGATAAAACCACAAAAGCAGTTCCCATCGTCGTGGGCCTGAGCATCCTGGGACTGTTGGTCATTATGTTTGTCACGTTTCTGATTTCCAGAAAAAAGCCCTATAGAGGATACGAACGTATCTGAGGTGCTCTTGTACTTCCAAAGAAGAGAAATCACACGAGTTTTTGCTTTTATCTGGCAGCCTTGCTGCTCTGGAGCCGTATTTTTAAGTGAAATGACACCATGTGTTTAAAGCTAATGCATGTTTCTGGAAGCAATTTCTTTAAGGTGGGAAGGAAATGATTTATATTTTTAGGCTATTCTTAGCAACTTATTTAGATGGGGCCCAGAGGATCAAAGTTAGAAGCCCAAATTCTTTATATCATCAAAAAAGAGGCAATTCAGACCACCTAAGTTAGATGCTTAAAAATAGCTTAAGGCAGGCAGCATCATTGTCCCCCATAAAAACCATCAGATTTTTCTAAAAAAAACATTAAGAAAAATCAATTTCTTTAAGATGGCATTCATATTTATTAGGAGAGTTGAGTCCAGTAATACTACCTTCAAGTGAGTAGAGCAGAGGTCCACAGCAACAGGTAACCCTATTAAATCAGAGCAAGTCCTACAGGAGCATTGTTGTTGGGTTTTTCTTGCTAAAGATTTGGGGCAAGTATAAAAATGACTTTGATTGATAAGCAAGTTCCCTTCAGTCCTTTTAAACACCAGGCTAACATTTAGTAACTTATTGTTTCCTACTAAGTCTTTTGGAGGGACACAGGGTAATGCGCTACGCTCACTCTAAAGGCAGTATTTTTATTAATTTTCTAGCCTCTAGTGACTCTGTATGCAGATAAGATGACTCAGCAGGGCCAGATAGGGTCTGCCTGAGCAATGCATGCAAAAATTTCCACTCATCATTGCCTGTCTCAGCCTCTCTGCAATGATGTCTTCTTGCCAATAATTCTTGAACTGTAGCCTCACAAGACATGGCATATGAGAGCAATCTGACGTTGCTGAGTTTATCTGCACTATTACTCTGTTAGCTGCACCATCAGCAGCTGATGACAGGCAGATGAGATGTCTGTGCAGAACTGGGCGGGCATTCGGAGTAACTAACTCCACTCATCTACACGAGGCCAAGACATCCTATTTACCAATTGGTGCTCAAGATGCAGCATCCCTTTGCCATGTGTTCGCAGCATGAGGTGGAGAAAGCTGATGTGAGGCTCTGAAAGCACTGTGATAAATGGGCCGGTGCTAAGGATGCTGCTGTGATAGACAGGGACTGGGGTGAAATTGCTTGATAGATTCATGGAGCCTATTATTTCATAGTCTTATAAGAGCTTATGCATCACCTGCTTCCTTTACAGACATAGACCTGTTATAGTGTTCAGCACTGAACGTGGTAACTGTCACCTCACTGGGATGACAATATTGTGATCTCTTTCTTAATGCGGGAAGATACTACAGCAATTGAAGTAGCCAGCACTGTAGCAGACCTGCACAAGGTCCTTGAGTAAATGGAAATCCACTGAAGCTGTCTGCTTAAGATGTCTGAAAGCTTGCACAGACCTTGGGTAAACTCTGCCCAAAAGTGAATGCTATCCACCACACTTGCAGCTGAGCAGCTGGATTTTCATATGGAAATAGTCTAGAGTTGCTTTAAAGCACAGTATTTGCAACACTTTGTAGTCTGCTTCCTGTTAAGCAAGTGTGAAGGCATGTAAGCAGTAAATGCTTTTGAGAGTAATTAAGTTCAGCTAATTTTCTTTGTTGAAACAAGAAAAATCTCCTTGTCACAAAAGGTTTACAAAGATAAACATATGCACAAATGTGCAAGTACACCACAATCAAATCTGCTCACTGCAGGAAACTACATGAAATTGATAAGAATTATATGTAAAAACATTTACTGAAGAGAAAACAATATTATGTAAGAGCTCATTTTCCCCTTGGGGTTAAGGGCAGTAGCTTAATGTTACCAATAAATATTTTGCCTGGATAGGACTTAGGAATGGCATCAATTAAACAAAAGAAAGACTGAAGTTATCTGCAAAAATTTCTTGCTGTTAGCTTTATTGGGAAATAAACATAATATAAATGCTGGAAGATAATTTGATTTCCATTAAGAAATGGCCCAAATCGTGAGCAATTATGAACGGCAGTGGATTTTCACTGGGTAAAACTGATATCAGTACCTTGTGAGTCTGATTTGCCTACAGTATTTTTTAAAAATAGTTTTGATATTTTACCAGAGATCAGTTACTTAAATCCTTTCATTCTATGAATGTTTAGAAGATTCTGTCCAAGCCAAGCAGGAAACATGACACCATTCAATAGCACCATAACATGTGGCTCTGGAAGTAATTCTCATTTCCAGAAATGTTCCAGTTTAGTTTGAATGAACTCATAACCAAGAAAGATAAAGACGATTTGGAATCACTTTTGCACTTGGAGAAGCCAAAGACAGAACTTAAAACCAGCTGTGAACAAGAGAAGCAGCTGAATATAATTATGAGGTAAAGCAGCATGCAGGTGCAATCACTTGAATGCTCCATTATTTCAAAGTTTGTTTCATAAAAAGCTGCAGCAGTGATAATATTACTTAGCAAACTTTATTAAGCTCATTTTCCCCCTCTCACCATTTCCTGCTGTTAGTGGACATGCTGCCCACTGCCCTTGTTCAGGCCTTAGCTCTCAGGGTGTTCTTGCTGTTCATGGTTCATCTCACATGAAAATCTGATGGTTAATGAGAGACCTGGGTGGTGGAAACAAGTCCTTGTCTGTGAGAACAAGCAGGCGTGGAAAGGTCTGGGGAGTTGTGAGCCTGCTACTTGTGTTTCTTTTCAGGAAAACCATTGGTACAAAGTAAAATGTCTGCCGTTGCCCATCTGGTCAGGGAGTGAAGCTGTGGGTTATTGCTGAGTTATTTGTTTTTGTTTAGAAAGCAGGATTTTTTTTTAATACTATATTAAAGCACTCACTTTTTTTTTTTTTTTTTTTTTTTTTTTTTTTTTTTAACTGGTGTAATGTTTAAGCAGCAGGAAACAGTAAATATGTGGAAGTGCTTCCAATTTAAAATGAGCCCATGCCTGCAGTTCTGATGCTGCTATCCCAAGCTGTTATATGTGGACATTTTAATAACAACTGTCACCTAAAAAGCTCAGCTCCACACATGATCTGACCCTAAGCTGATCCAAGTGGTGGTCAACAGACATCTTTCCCATTCAAAACTAAATCCTATTTGGATTTTTTCTTTGAATTTTTGGGTTATTTGATCTGTATGGTTTATTACTTTATTAAATGTAGGATTTTCTTGTTATGTTCTATACTGGAAAAGCTCTTTATATTAATATTCAGTCTTTTAACATTTGCTATCAAAATGAAGCTTGAAAGTTGTTTTTAATGATGATTGATAATTCTGTGTTTAATCTTGTCACACCTCCGGCAGCTTTACCAATGATGCAAAGTTAATGCTTTTCTCTCACCTCATTTTATCACTAGAATGAATCAAACTATTCATACTGAACAACGTTTAGATTAACTGATTAATTCTTATGCTATATATTACTATTTGTTTGCTGTTTTTTGGAAGCTGTATGTAGTCTTCTCTGGGCTTGCGCTAAGTGGCAAAGGCAAAACCATTGGAAACAATCATGACATGCTGCTATTTACTTGCAAGAAGAGTGAAGGACACAGTGAAGCAGAAGTTAGGAGGTGAGCACATCCCTGTAGCTCCCCGGTGCTCTGCTGCACCAGACCAAGTTAGACACCAGGGTATCCCATGAATATATGATGTCATACTTAGCCAGATACCCAACGAGTTTATAAAGTAAGATTAATTTTTTTTTTTTTTTAGTCCTTTGCTGTTCTCTGACAGACAAAAAAAAAAGTCCAAATTAAAAAACAGCTGTTAGTTCTGGTTGAACAGAAGCAGGGAGATGTAGACTAGCTTCTTAAATGTATGGAATTGGTTTGGTTGATCACTTTTAGCTTGCTCTAATAGATGGTTGCTAAAAATTACTTTGTTATGAAAAGGAATATATGCCCTTTATTTTTCTATTATTGATGTTTCTATAATAAAGATTGTATTTAGTCATTAAAGTGTGCATTGCTGTGCAATTGTTTTCTCTTGAGTGCTGTTTCACCTAAACATTTTAAAATACAAACACAATCTGTAACAATCAGATAGGATTGTATGGGCTTGTGACGCAAGCCACAATCACAGATATACTTATGTCCTTGCTGTAACTGACAGTGATGGTTTTTTTCCAGCCTGGGCATTTCCTCTGACATTTCCATCTTTGTTTCATCAGCATTTAGGAAAAAAAAAAAAAAAAAAAAAAGATAAAAAGGAGTATTGAAAATAGTATGAGGTTTTCTGTTCATCTCCCCACAACTTCCTCAAGTTTCTTCTTTATGTCTACTTCTGTTTCCTATTTGTCCAATAAACGCAGACCATAACTCACAGCAGATGTGATGGATGTTTGTTACTTTGTACTTAAACTGCTTTCACAGATGATAATTTCAGGAATTATGATGAGATTCTTTGGAGGAGAATGCATCCTTTATTGTGCAGTTATGGAAAATACAGGAAATAATAGCTTGGAAAACTCCAGATGTAAACTCCAGAATTCAACAGTTTCTATGTCACTCAAAGGAATTTCTGAAGGAACTTGACTTTGCTGTGACTTTGCTGTTTCTCACATCAACACACAAAAGCCAGCTTAAAATATAATAACCATAAGGCAACTGTGTGTGGCAAACTGTCCAATAGAAGGGGACACACAAAAGTTCTTCAGATTTATCTTCAAAGATTTTCCAGTGAAACATGAAACCAAGTTTGGCAAATTTGTGCAGCCAGACCCCATCTGGGGTGCAGGTTCCTGCAGCACTTCACTGCTGGGAGGCTGCATGATGTGGCTGGGCTGGCTCAGAGGGATGGGCAGAGAGATGGGGAAATGGGATCCCACCTTCCCTGTGGGGATAAGGCTCAGAAGGGGCTGTTTGAGTGTCATATTCTTCATGACTAAAGAAGCTAAGATAAGAGAACTGCAGGAAGCAGATGTGGTAAAGATAGGAAGAGAAAAACCTATCTGCGACTAGCAGCAGATTCAGGAACCTGCTAGAGAAGTGCCAATAAGGGCACCAGAAAGAAAGTAACTTCTCTTAGTGATAAGGTGCCATAATAATGACTGCTGGATGTCCCAGAATTTTTTTCTTTCTTGACAAGGATTTATGGCATGTAGAGGAATAATCAATAATTTTTCTTTTTAAGGCAAAAAATAAATCTGAAAGTTACACCATGGACTGTCCTAGAAGCACACAGCTTTAGAATTCACTGAAGAAGTGTTTTTTGCATCACAGTGTCTAGGAGAGAAAGGAAGTACTTTTAAAAGACATCAATTCAAAGAAAATAACAGGGGTGAGTAGAGAAAGATTTCTGTGAAGTTACACCACTAGTAACATGACCAGATGCTTAAAGAGTACAAAGGTGGGCAAAGGACAAACTGAGCTCACCTCTCTGTTGCTCATGATAAGAAAGATCTGAATCAAGCTTTTATCTGCAATGTCCTCCACAGGGAGACCAGGGCAGGCGGGGCTGGGAATTGTGGGCACAGCTGAAGCTCTGAGTATCTGGGCTTTCCCTGCCAGCCACAAAACATCAGATAAGCTACAGTTCTCTTTTCTGCAAATCCTATTCCCTAGGACGTTGCTAGATCATAAGTATTTTATGAAATTATTGTTTCATTGGCTCAGGTTCTTACTTCCTTTTAAAGATTTGAAGAAAGAGTTAAGTTGCATTTTCCATATGCAGAAATATCATAAATTGTAGAGAAATGGAAAGCATGCAAGATTCTACAGTAAAATTTAAAATGTTACCAGCTCAAACTATCTAGTACAGCTCTAAGTTCATGACAGAGCCTTCATTTAGTAGGTATGTGCACATTAAGCACATTACTAGTGTCAGTGAGAAAATGTTTTTTTGGATTTGGGTTTTATTACATTGCCCTTTCAGACATCTATGTGTACAGCTCAGTGATCCCTCTTGACCTTGCACGCCCTGAAAGCCACACTGACAGATAACTTCACCAAGGGCAGATTTGCAATACAAATGAGCTTGCTGCTTCTGTTAGTTTCAGTTTTCAAAGCATAAAATATTCCACCTCTGAGTGATATACTGCAAAATATCTTTAGTTCTACTGTGCATTTAATGGCAAACTACACAAAATGCTGCCATCTTGCGTTTAAAGACAAGGTAAACATGCTGAACATTTTGATAAATAGAATCTGTGGTATAGAGATTTTATGCTGTAGAATGAAGGGAATGAATAATGGAAAAGACATAGCTTTGCTTAATAATCTGCTTTTAAAAATCCCATCTCCAGAGCACGTGCCTACAAGCTCTTGGAGCCAAAGTCAAGTGACTGTGCTATTTTCCAGAGCTGCTCCAGGGTCAGATCGAACTATTCTGACCATCCCGTCCAGCCGTACAGGCACTGCGGAGCTGTGAGATGTGCTGGGTGCCCCAACCCAGGAGACAGCCAAGGTCAGGCTGGATGGGGCTCTGATGGAGCCATAGGCGTCCCTGCTCAGCGCAGGGAGTTGGGACAGGTTCTACTCACGCTGCATTTTAGAAAAGGCAATAAGCAGAAGCCGCCTGCACAGCACGTGTGCTCGTTGTGTAAGGAACTGCCTGCCTCCGAGTATGGAAAACACGTACGATGTGCTGCATAGTGCCACAACGGCAGCGGATAGTTTGCGTGTTTCTGAGGAAAAGCTATTTAAATAGGGCGTTGTAGACTCGTTCAGTCCGAAGGAACCTGCAGAGGTCATCAGGCTGAAGTGCCCGAACTCCGGGGCTCACTCAGGCACGTTACAGCAGGCATTATCCGAACGGCTCCTGACCGCTGCCAGGCCAGGGGCACGGACCGCCTCCCAGGAAGCTGTTCCAGCGTCTGGCCAACCTCACAACTCACAGATTAACGCTAACGCCCGGCGGAAGCCCGGGTCCGGCTCTGTGCCATCTCCTCACGCCCCGCCATCCGCACCGGGGAGCGCGGAGCGCAGCGCAGCCCGCGCTCGTGGCTCGGGCCGACTTCCCGACCTGACACGGGACAGCCCGGGGCGTTCGGCCCCACGACACGCCTTCAGCTCCGTCACCAGTTTCGCTGCACCGGGTTTTCTCGCTTTTATTTGGCCTGCCATTTAATCGCCCGCACTCTCACCCACTTCCCACCCCCCCTCGCCGGCCCCACCACGCAGCCGCCCGCCCGGCCCGGCCCTCCCGCCTCAGCCACTGACGGCCGGCCCGCCGCGCACACCCCCGCCCCGCCAACATGGCGCTGGCGCTGGCGGCCGAGCGGGGCCGGCGCTGCCTGCGGGCGTTGCGGCGTCAGTGAGTGCGGGCCGGGAGGGAACCGGCGTCGGCGGCGCCCGCGGGGGGAGGGAGCCGGGGTGCGGGGGGGGCCGTGTGCGGGCGGAGGACCGGAGGAGCCGCGCCGACGGGCGGAGCGCTGTGCGCTGAGGGGGCGGCGGGCGCTGGGCCGCTGCTCGGGGCGGGACGCGAGCCCGCTTCTGTGGAGAACAGCGAGCCGGAAGCACCCCCGGGCCCGGCGCTTCTAACGCGGCGTTTCCAGCACTTCCCTGCGGGCTGCTTTGGGGCTCGGTGCCCCTCCCCGCCCCCCCTCTGTGCCAGCAGCTCGCTCCTGTGCTGCTCGTGCCTTTCCCTCACGCTTGCCCTCTCTGCGGTAAATCCCAGTGTCCGATTTGCCCACCAAAAGACGAGAAGTCGCTCACGTTCGCTGTTCCCATCTGAACGCTGCTCAGAAAGCAGGAGGGAAATCCGTTGTTCTTGTTGTGTCTCAAGGAAAACAGCCTTACAAGGAAACAGCGAAGTCTGTACACCCTTACCGTGCTGTGCTTGGTTATGCTGTGTTTAAATAGCAGTATCAGAGTTGAGCTGGCGCTGTGCTTTCACCTGAAAATAGAAGTCGTTCAGCTGCAACTTCTTTGCTTGCTTCTGTAACAGCCCCGTTTGTAATTGCAGGCCATGGAGCCCCGCGCTGCTGTTGGCAAAGTGTGCCTCCACAGCAGGTATGTTGTGCTTCCTTGGGCTGCCGGCCTCAATTGCTCGTGATTTTACCCCCCTCAGTTGCAGGGGTGATTTTACAACGGTTTTAGACTGTTTTATCTGTATGTTTTGTATTAGTTTTTTTTAATGAGCATTCTATATTTGTATAGTCTTGGAAAACAGTAGTTTGCACCTGACTTAACAGAACTCACTTTTAATTTGAGCAACATTTTGAGTAGTTTTATCTGTCACAGTGGTACTCAACTCACGTGAAAATTACTAATTTTCGTGATGGTTTCCTGTGTGATCCTTTATGATACAGAGACTGCAAAGCCAAGCATGACAGTACTTAAGCAACATTAGAAATGATTTAGTAAAATTTAACAGGGTGATCTAAATTGACCCTCTTGTCAAATTTCCTAAAAGCATACATTTTAGAATTCTGAGATGTATTATCACTTTATTGGTTAATTTTAACTGGTGCTAGTTTAACTAAAGAAATACATAAACACTGTAAATTGTTTTATTTTGAGGAGTGTTTTTAAGGTATATTTCATTTTAAAATTGCTTACTGTGCTTTGGTCTTTTAAACAGAAGGTCACAGCATAGGGAAGATTCTGATTGCAAACAGAGGAGAAATTGCGTGCAGAGTGATGCGCACAGCAAGGAAGATGGGTGTGAAGTCTGTAGCAGTTTATAGTGAAGCAGACAGAAATTCCATGCATGTAGCAATGGTGAAGTATATTCATTATGTTTATGATTGGTTCTGGAAACAATGAAGCGTGGGACTAACATTCATTTACAATGGTAGTTCTAATGAGTAAGCTAAATGTGAAAGTTGGTGTGTGCAGTTGATTTTTCACTTCTGTAAAGTTGTTCCCAAGTTTCCCTTGAATCATTGAGTGGTTTGCTTGATCTCAGTATTAACACCTGTCAGTGTTACAGAAAGTGCAGAAAAGTTTGGTGCCCATTGGGAATTAGAGAATTGTCTTTGATGTTGAGAAGGTCAGAATTTGTTTCTCCTAGTTGAGCTGCTCTCTGAAGTGAGAGATTTAATCTGAGATTTAAGAGATTTTAACTGTTGCATGCCAGCAGTCATTTTAAAATGAAAAGTATACTGCTTTTCATTGTCTGTAATAAATAGTCTATGCAATATCTATTTTTGCTGTATCAGGCAGATGAAGCATATTGCATTGGTCCAGCACCCTCACAGCAGAGTTATTTGGCCGTTGAGAAAATAATACAGGTGGCCAAGACCTCAGCAGCACAGGTATGTTGGTCACAATTTAATCTTTGGATACGTGGCTGGTGTTTAGTTTTTCATGTTTACACATGATAGTTCCATCTTTTGCTTGCCTGGCAATATGTTGGAGTTTCAGGGTTTTCTAAGCTAGACTAATAGAGAAATAGGCTGGTAACTTTATTCTATTTTAGGCTATTCATCCAGGTTATGGTTTCCTCTCAGAAAACACAGAGTTTGCAGAGCTGTGCAAGCAAGAGGGAATCATCTTCATAGGTCCACCTTCATCTGCTATCAGAGATATGGGTATTAAAAGGTATCTCTTTCTAATTTGTTACTTGGTTATGCAATTTATAGCTTGCTAAGGCTAATTTTGTTAATTATTTTATTCCACCAATTTTAATGTTCTTTTTTTTTATTCTATTTTTGAAAGAATAAGTTCAAAGCTCCTGTTGACATAGGATTGTTCAGTCATTAGGATTTTAATAATTAAGTACCCAGTTGAATCTAGTCTTCCATGACTGGGACCTTGCAGTGTTATACAGATACAGATTTAGCAGTCAGGTTGGCTCTCTTGCATATTGGTACCATATCATCAGAAGTTCTTGTGGCTGGTATAAAATGGGATGGTAAGTTTTATTCATCAGAGGACCTTCTTCTTAGTTACTTGTGCTGGCAACATTTCTTTGGTTTGTGAAGTTTAAGTCAGGGATAAGGAAATAAGGTTATTACTAATACATGAAATGTGTAATAATTTCAGAGAGCTAATCTGTTTTCACTTGCTAATATGAGGGTGAATTACCTCTGTAATTTATCTAGTTTGGCATGCTTGTTGGAAGTTATTGTTATGCTTGAGTGTTCCATGCCATCCTGTATGAAAAAAGCTTTATCTTTGTACAACTTTAAATGTGGTTTTTGCAAGGTGCAATATGGTGATTTGGAAATGTATGGTTTTGGCCACCATGAAGTAGGCCAAAGGGTAGAATAGAACAGTAAGCCTGAAAACTGACTGCTACTTTTATCTGGAGATCTTGGAGAAAAAAAATCCCCACTTGAATCATTTGATTAATTAATTACAGTAAAATTTGGTGTAACGCATCTATGTAAGTAGTCCCATTGAGATTAGTGGAACTGCTTTTATGAGGAGAATTAACAAGGGTAACATGTACAGGTTTGGAACTTAAGAGAAAAATGTCTTTGTCATTCTAAACATAAAACTGTTCTGTCAAAGCACTTCCAAAGCTATAATGTCTGCTGCTGGCGTTCCTGTTGTTGAAGGTTATCATGGAGAAGATCAGTCAGACCAGTGTCTAAAAGAGCATGCCATGAGAATAGGATATCCAGTAATGATTAAAGCTGTTCGCGGCGGTGGAGGAAAGGTAAGGAAGTTAACACATCTGTTTATCACTGCTGTGTGATATGCAGTGTTATCTTGCATCAGTTTCTAGTGGTTGATTGTATGAAAACAAACTGGAAGGCTATTTTTGGTTAGAATGTATTAGTAATGTCCAGTACAGCACAGTGAAACCTGGCTGCCATTCATTGTTGAGTCAGGCAAAAAAGTAAGTAGAGAGTGCAGAGTGGACAAGTTTTATTTTTATTTGTTTCAGTGGATTTCTGGAAAATCACATAAGCAGGTGGTCTGCTGTATAGGTTTATCTGAGTGAAAGTAGTTGTTACTTAGTGTCTGAATCAACTTATTTGATTAACAGTTTTAAGTGTTACATAAAAATGATTAGAGATACATTTAGGGTTTTTTTTATATCTGGACACTTTTTAATGTAGAATGAATTCCCAGCCTAAATCTGAATTTTACTTCAAAAACTTTTCTATGAAAATAGAATGATAGAGAATTGGAGTTATTTCCAAAGTAACTAAAAATCAGTTGTTTTTTTTTTCTCTGCCAGTATTGAAACATTCCTGTGATATTTAAGAATCAAATTGAATTGGCACTCATCGCTATCAATGGAATGATCATGTCTATATACTGCATTTTCAACTGTGCTTTCAGCAGGACTCCATAGGGCTGACTTATTGCATGTTAGTGTTCATGTTTAGGTATTATTGTGAAGTTGCTGTTTAGTTGTGAACCTGTTGGCGTGCATACAGGATTTTTCCTGTATTCTTAGCTATTTAGATATGTGTTTTTGTTTGTTTGTTTGTTTGTTTTTAATTTTTATTTTTGTGTTTACTAAGGGCATGAGAATTGCTCATTCAGAAAAGGAGTTTCTGGACCAACTAGAATCAGCAAGGAGAGAAGCAAAGAAGTCTTTCAATGATGATGCAATGCTGATTGAAAAATTTGTAGATAATCCAAGGTGAGAAAGATGTCTTAATATAAATAGGGTAATGTTTATTTTTACTATAAAATAAACATAGGTGTTTTAATAATAGAAGCTGTAGTCTTTAGCTCCTACCTGGCCTGTGAAACTGAGCTTATTTTTACTTACTACAAGCTTTTGACAGAAGTATTTTAGTAATCTTCTTTCTTGAACCATCATTGTAAAGAAAGAGTTCATTAGAAAGAAGGCAGTGCCTTGCTTGTGCTGTCCACTGGGCATGAGAAGATCTCATTAGATTCTTGGGGAGTTTGCCTAGCATTGGAGGACTGTCTGGATGGTGACAATTATTTGTTAATTTTGTCCATAGAACAAAGCTCTGCCTCTTGATAGCTGTCTCTGAAATTGTGTGTTAAAGTAAATAAGGTTCTTGAGTCAGGATTGCTGAAGTCTGGTATTAGAAGCAGGACTAGTGCTTCAGTTTAATGCACTGTGACATTTGTTGTTATGGAACAGGCATGTTGAAGTCCAAGTGTTTGGTGACCAGCATGGCAATGCGGTGTATTTGTTTGAAAGAGACTGCAGTGTGCAAAGAAGGCATCAGAAGATCATTGAAGAAGCACCGGGGGTGAGCAGAATGCTCTTACATTTTCCTTTTTTCTTATATTTCTTTTTTTAATAAAACTTTTAAAAGTCATTGCTAATCCCATCTGATCTACTTAATGGGTAGAAATTAATTTCTAATTCTATGTTCTTGTTTTAATTTTGCTGTAGAAAGTGTTCTAACTGGAAAAAAAAATGATGTCTTTAGGAAAATGATTTCAAGAAAAAAATACTAATCAATGCTGTAAGTGAAATCTAAGGGTTATGCTGTGGTTTCTAAATCTTCATGCATAGGAGTTTAATACCACTGAAATTTGTAATCTTATGTATTTTATTATTATTTACAGCCAGGAATTAATCCTGAAGTTCGAAAGAGACTTGGAGAAGCTGCTGTGAAAGCAGCCAAGGCAGTGAATTATGTGGGAGCAGGTGAGTCTAAATAAATCAATTTTCTTAGGAGTCCATCCTGGGATTGTCTTGTAAAATGTCCTTTTCTTTAATACTTCAGGAACTGTGGAGTTTATTATGGACTCCCAGCATAACTTTTACTTCATGGAGATGAATACCAGGCTGCAGGTGGAGCACCCTGTTACAGAGATGATCACTGGGACAGACTTGGTGGAATGGCAGCTTAGGGTAAGTGATAATTGATTTTACATGCAGAACTCCTTTTTGTCTGGTGAGTAGTGCTCTTTGATAATGCCTGTGGGAGACCAGCTGTATTTTCAGGTGCTTGTGTCATATGCAGCCAACTGGGTGGAATTTTCTTCTTCTTTTAGTTGTGGAGAGAAAAGTCATTTTCTCATGTATTTAACAAAATTATAGAGAATGTGAAAAGTAGGAGGAGAGGGGTCCTGATCTTTCTCCTAGCATTCTAACCAACTTCTTAAACTCTAATTTAAATGTATTTCTGGCTTAAAAATCATTCTTTGATCAGATTGCAGAAGGAAAACTCTTTACAAAAATATCTGATTTTTGCCAGTATGGTCCTCCTAAAATAGATGTGTGGTTGTGTGGACTCGAAACAAGCTATTTCTTCACACATCTCACAGAGAGATTACTTGCATGTTTGGACAGGAAGTTTTGGACCTTATGGAACTGGAAATTAGAAACCAATTCTATTTAGGTAAATCCAAAAGTCAGCACAGCAGCATACATTAAATCTAAGTAGGTAGGGTGGTGAAATGTTTAACGTAAGCAAAAATTAAACCAAAATACCAAACGCTGCTGCAAAAAGGAGGAGCTTTTGGCTTGTAGGTCTAGGAGTGGAAGCTGAGCATCAAGAGCTGAGAAGTATTTTGCTGTCCCTGCTGAAAGCTCTGGCTTGGTGACAGAAGCCAGAATATAGAAAACCCCGAACAGTTAGAGATTAAATACTGCTCAGAGTTGTTAGTAAGAACTGGTATTTCCCATGTAGATGGAGACTGGAGCTTCCTGGTAAAAGGTCTCCTATCTGCTCAGCTGCATCATGCTGCTTATTATTCTATCCCTGAAAGAGTTTTTTAAGTCTCAAACTTTTGTGGTTTTTGTGTTTGTTGGCATTCCTGTATTTGTAATAAAAATGTCTTTGAGGAATAAAATGGACTTTTCTTGCCTATTGGAGATTCTTAAGTTACTAGGAATAGAGAAAGAATCACTTACATATACAAATCCCTCAGTATGAGAGAGAATCAGCAGTGTGTGTCAGCAGCGCTGGCTGCTAATGATCCCTTTCAGCATCTGCTGTTAGAGCCATTTTTCTCTCTAATAAAGTCTTGTCTTAGCTGATCAACCTTTAACTTAAATGTGTATTTTTTTGGCATGCCAATAGGGGAAAATAAAATGATAATGTTTCCATCATATTTTAGCTGTGTGAGGTCAATTTACAGTAATAATTTAAAACTCTTTGACTGGTGAATCTCAGAAAAAAGGAAGGAGTAATTTCAGAGTTTGCTACTTGTAATTTAACACTTTTTGTGTTTTTTTTTTTTTTTTTTTTTTACACGCTTTCTAGTTGTTTGTGTTTGGAAGAGATATATTTAACCTTTCACACATCAACAGAGTATTGATCCTGCATTAAAGAAGAAAAACTTTTTCAGGTTGCGGCAGGAGAGAAGATTCCACTAACGCAGGAAGAGATTCTGCTCCGAGGCCATGCATTTGAAGCCAGAATATATGCTGAAGACCCTACCAATAACTTCCTGCCAGGGGCTGGGCCCTTGGTGCACTTATCCACCCCACCTCCTGATAGAGACACCCGCATAGAAACTGGGGTCAGACAAGGTACAGCTGAAGGCAGCGGTGAAATGGGAAATATTTGATATTCTATTTACTTCTTTATTCATCTCTATTCAAGCTATTGTCTCTTGGACTGTGCTGATTATATTCTTACCATAATTTACCAGTCCTGCAGACTGCAACGAAAAAAAAGTAATTTTTGTAATTTTACTTCTGCAAAAGCTGTGTGCTGAGATTTTCCTTGGAACTGAAAAGCCAGATCAGATCATTAAAGATAAATATTCTTTAAGAGCATACAGAAACATGGCCATGTTCACTGCCATGTGTTGTGCTTTCAGGAGGTACATTCTTGAGTGTTACAGAACTTTCTTCATGTATTTTAGGTGATGAAGTTTCTGTTCATTATGATCCAATGATTGCAAAGTTAGTTGTGTGGGCTGAGGATCGTGAGGCAGCCCTGAGAAAGTTGCGGTACAGCTTGCATCAGTATAATGTAAGTAAGAGGAACCCAGTGTGGTTCCCATGCTTGAAAAAGGCTCTTGAACACCTTGAGCTAACAACAAACAGATACAATCACCTCTCCTTACTATTTCTGAAAAGCTTTCTTTGACTTTGCCCTGGACAAAGGTAGTGTTTTAGAAGCAGAGTGCTTTTGAGAAATCTACACTTGTTTTTTGTTCTTTTTTTTTTTTTTTAAGCATTGATTTCTTAGGTAATACAACATACAACATACTAGTTGAATTAATTCATTTTATTCATGAACTTTGTGTTTTGTTGGTGCTATGTAAAGAAAATTTCAGTGCATAAGTTGAGCAGAAAGCTGTGTATTCATTCATGACTTCATTTCACTTTGGCAATATGCTTCTTTTTCTTTTTTTTCTTTTTTTTTTTTTTGACAGATTGTAGGATTAAGCACTAATATTGATTTCCTACTGAGCCTGTCAGGACACCCACAGTTTGAGGCTGGAAACGTGCACACTAATTTCATTCCTCAATACCATGATGATCTGTTTCCAGCCAAAAAGGCAACTCCACTTGAAGTTGTGTGTCAGGCAGCTCTAGGACTCATACTGAAAGAGAAAATGCTATCAGATGCCTTTAGAAATCAGTCAAGTGGTAAGGATCATTCTTCTTTTGCTTTATTTTACTTGTGACTGGATGAGACAGTGCTGTGAGCACGTGTGATTATTTTGTGTAGTCTCTTTTTATCTTATTTAATGGCTGCTCAGAGTTCTGCATGATAGCATTTGTCAGTTACTTACGCACACAGCAGACTGTGGCTTTTGATAAGAGAGAGATATCGAATATATCACCACTGTAATGTACAGACTACTTTCCTAGGCACTCCAGATAGCGCCTGTCTGAAAGACCTTGGGGTTCTCAATCTGTGTCACTGTGTGTCCTTTTTGTTCTTTAAGCACACAAGCTCTGAGTATCTCATTGTTAGTTCTACAGTTGGTTCAAGGTCTTCAGAGGTGGACTGACTGGCTGGGACTGGGAGGGGCAGTAGAGTTTAATGGAATGAACAGGACTCTGGGAGCCAAAAATTCATGAATTCTGATGCTGTTAATGCCTTTACCACTGGCACATGTGATTACTGTTAACAAAAACTTGATATAAATCTAATGTATGCTGCAAACAACCTTGTTCATTTACTTTCCTTCCCCACTTGGAATATCTTGGAAGCATGGAAGATTGGGATTCTTGTTTTAGGAGAGGAGGAACTTATCAGGCAGTATTTAATAGTGATGTATCCAATCAATTCTTAAAAACACCAAATAACAGAAAGTTCCTCAAACTTTCCAGGCAATCCTCTATTGTGAGTTCAAACTCTTACAGTAAAACCTTTGGCTAAAGTTTAATCCGAATGTGCCGTGTTGCCTTAGAATTCTGATGCTTTCTTGTCCTCTTCAAGGATGTGGTCATGGAGAACAGTCAATATTCTTCCTCTTAGCAAGTGCTGTTGGTGTCTTGTTTTCTGTAGGTTACACAGCCTCAGTTATTTCTTCTTGAAGTTTGAGTTTGGGATTGTCTCCAACCTTTTATGTGCAAAATAAATATGTAAGTGTAATGGTAGTGATACTAGGACAGTCTTTTTTTTTTTAATGGTTTAAGTTTTAACTGTTGTGTGTTTTGCCAAACTAACTAAAGCAACATCTCTGTATATTTTGTATTTTAGATAAATTCTCACCATTTGCATCCAGCACTGGAAGAAGAATAAATATATTATATACTAGGAAACTGTCTCTACTGGATGGAGAAAACAGTAAGTGAATAAAAAAGCATGAATGAAGGAAGAGGAGATAATTGAAATAACTTGATCCATCAACTGGTACTTGAATGCTCAAGTTAAGAAATAGCAAATAGTAGCAGTATCAGTTCTAAGCAATTGATGCTGGAAAGGAAATTCACAAGGTTGCAGGTTTAATTATTAAATGCATGCTCTTAGATCTGGAAGAGATATAAACTAAATTCAAATGACAGTAGTAATATTTGTCATTTAAATGAAGGTTGACATTTTGGAAGAGCTTTTGGCTTTCGTTTGGCCTCATGTTGGTGTGATAGCATTCAGCACTTGTTTCCCATAATAAAATCTGTGCTCTGCCCAGGTAACTTGAAATCCAGATTCCCAGAGCATGACTTCAGCTTTGAAAAGTAAATTGCCTAAAATGCAGTGTGAAGAATTCAGTTCTGCTAAGCTAATCTGAAAATACTACTTTTTTTTTTAGGTCTGTTTTAGGTCTCTTAAAATCAAAATGGTACACTACATCCTTGTTTATTTGTTATTATTCTTTGGGTCTTATTATTAAATCTACCTACACGTGTGTTTTGTTTTATTGAGCAGTTGTGGATGTTGCTGTAACTTACAATCGAGAAGGATCATACAGCATGCAGGTACAAGTAGACTTTGTTCAGATATTTCATTAAATAAACAAAGAATGAATTTCTCATAGGCTTCTATTCATACCATTTTAAAGTACATAGCTCCTACAGAATACAACTCCAGATACATGAACTTGTTTCTTAAGTGGTTGTCTCTGAAGTAGTGAGAAAATAATTGTACTATTGTATGTATATCCACGTGTCAGTAACTCATATCTTTTTTTTTTTTTTTTTTTTTTTGAGGATAGGACTATTTAGATAACCCTCAAACAATTGCTCAAACAATTCTTAGAGTATTTTGAGTGTATTGATTACCTAAGTCATGTAAGAGAGCTTTTAGAATTTAAGTCTACCCATATAAGTAATGTCAGCAAAATATAAAAAGAGACTGGAAGGAATGTTGAGTGCTGGGGAGGTGAAGTGCAGCTGGGGAGAATGTAGGCTGCTGAGATGAAAGGAAGAATGGGGATTGAGGTGGAAATGGAGAGAATCTGGAGTTATGGGGTTAGAAGCAGAGCTGTGTGCCTCAGGAGCCGATGATGAAGAGGACAGTGCTGTGGGAGTGCTACAAATTGAACGTAGCACGCTTATGTTCACATTCGTATCTAAACATTCTGAAGTTGTGGCACAGATCACATCACTAAACAGAATAGTCTTCTGATTTTTTTTCTGTTCTGCTCACTTTATAATTTTACTGAGTGCTATTGCATGGTTTATGATAAAAGCTGTCCTAGCAAGAGTGTAACAGTTAATCTGAGCTGTCTGCATTGGATACATAATACCTTCTATTAATTGAAAAATACAGGATACATATCAGATTTATGGAAATGACTTTAAAAAAATATCCAGAATTTATCTGTGAAGAATCACAGGTTATGACTGTATACTAGAAATACTAACTTCTGCTTTATTATTTTAGTGTTCCTGAAGGGTTGGGCTTTGTCCTTACAGAAGCATTTAACTTTCAGATTCAAGACAAAATGTTCCTGGTTTCTGGAGAAATCTCTACTGAGGGCGATTCGGTTTACTTGAGGTCTTCAGTTAATGGAACAATGTGCAAGTCCAAACTGGTCATTTTGGACAACACCATTCATCTCTTCTCCCTGGTAAAGTTCTTTTGGTTATCATCAAAAGTTTAACGTTTTGTTCATGTGGATAAACAACATAAGTTGCAACAGAACGTGGAACAGAATCATAATTTAAATTTTTATTTTGTCCCTAGTGTTTTGATACTTGTTGGATTTAGAACTGCAATTGGAGGTTGGTTCTGAATGGGCAGATCAAGTACTTGTAGAAAGACAAAATGCGATTAGGGGAATCAGGGGAGTTATAAATGATGGTTTGGGGAGGGGAGGCACCTGAAATATTAAAGTGGTTCAGTATCTTGTCTTGCACAGAACAGTAACAGTTGCTTCAAACTGTTACTTACTTTGAAGGCACTTGTAACTCTGATAATTTTGTATTTTCATTTTAAAATAAAATGATAACAGATCAGTATTGATCTGAGGAAAGATAATTTCAGCCAATACTTAAAAAAATAAAAATAAAAATGTTATGAAGAGTTACCAGGACATTATATACACTCTGTGAGTAATGGCATTATTTTGGTCTGTGAAACACCATATTGACAGTGCTTGCCAATGAAGATGGCAGTGTCTTAGCAGCTTATCTCCTCCTTCTGCAAACAGCCTTTACTAATATTCTAGCACTTGCTATGCTGTTGCAGTGTGAATGGGGAAGGTGTGGATTTGGGGCAAAGGGCTGCATGGAGCCTCATTTTCACAGGCATAGTTCCTTCCTCTCTGGTCACTCAGCAGCAGCAGACACAGCTCTTAAAGACTTCAGCACTGCAAAGCAGCCGGTGTGCCTGCAGTCCTTTTGCTCTAGCCCCAGTAGTCTACAAGCTGAAACAGTGCATTTACCTCTTCATACAGCTAGGTCTGTCCTGGCCCATGTCAGCACGTGTACTAGTGGTATTATTTTATTGTTGTTAACTCTTGGTTTTATTTTCTGTAGGAAGGCAGTGCTCAGATTGGCCTTCCTGTACCCAGGTACTTATCTGCAGTGAGTTCAGCGGGGACGCAGGGTGGTGCCGTAGCTCCCATGACAGGCACTGTTGAAAAGGTGATTATAAAAATATGAGTGGGAAAATGAATTCTACAGAATTGCATCGAAGTTCAGTCTTCCAGACAGTGTTTGGTTCTGTACTACCAGGAAAGAATTAGGGCCAAAAATGTCATTGCTGTACATCACCTCTCCGTTTCCAATTTTCTAAAAGTCCTGTTTAGCTTGACTTTCCAGTAGCAGCCCAAGATTGTTTTCAGACTTCTGGGCTTTTTCAAGAGGTCAGGAAGGTATGAATACATAACTAATCTTACTGTTTCAATATTTTTTCCATCACCTCTATTGCTTTCTAAGCCGAAGTTCCTTGAAGTGTTACAGGCTGTTCGACCCATTTCATCTGAGCAAAGAATGTGATGAGACATCCTTGGAAAAAAAAAAAAAAAGAACATTCAGTAATGTCTCTTTTGTTTAGCTCTGTTTTTTGCTGCTTCTGTTTTTCTGTTGGTTTTTTCCTTTAGCTCAGCAAATTGTGTGTATTTTTGTGCGATGGAGAAGTTTCATCATAACAGAGATCTTCAAGATAGTTAATTTTAGTAGTTAGAGGAATGAACCCTGAAAGGGTGTGAGCTGTTTCAGAGGATGGAGTACACTGACTGTGGATCTCTTACATTCTTGAGTGATACTCTAGAATCCTAGAATATCCTGGATTATGAGGGGACCCACATGGGTTGTGGAGTCCAACTCTTGGCTTCACGCAGGACTACCTGAACATTAAACCATATGTCTATGGACATTGTTCACTTACTTCCTGAACCCCAGCAGGCCTGGTGCTGTGAGCAATGCCTGAAGTTCAAGAAGTGTTCTCCTTCAGGGAGAATCAGGGCTGTGGAATAATTGGTGGCTGCTGAAATCTCTCTGGACTTTATTTTTAGAAGAAACTTAGTGGCTTGCTCCAGGAAGAGGTTCTGGACTTCATATCTCAAAATAGAAGCTTTTAAAACCCAGATGGGGCAGAATACATTTTCTCTTCAAGTGTTTCCTCTTTGACACATAAATGGCTTCCCAGTCAACCTGTTGACTGTTATCAAACCTCTTTGTAAAACCTTTGACTCCCCTTGAGTATTGTGTAAGGAACTCAAATACCCAATTTGGCAACGATAAAGATATTATGAGGCTGTTTTATAAATCCACTACTAAGTGGATTGTCCTAGCCAAGATCTATCTCATGTATTTTAATGACACAGACATGGATGACTTTTTTTTTCCAACATTTGAATTGTAGGTGTTTGTGAAAGCAGGGGATAAGGTTGAGATTGGAGACCCTCTAATGGTTATGATAGCTATGAAAATGGAGGTGAGTGACTTTATATATATAAAGTTCTAGTTGCTGAGAAAATAAAAGATATGGTCATGCTTGTATCAGTTTTGATTGCATTAATGAAGAGTGGTGCAGATTGTTGCTTGCAGATGTTGTTATTGCTTTATATGCTGTAAAACAAGCATTGTGTCTGTTGAGCTTTTAGGGGATTACATTTGTTATTATTAACAAATGATGATGATGTAATCCCTGGCACTCTGCAGATGTGTTAACATTCATCTGGTTCCCCTGTCAATCCTTCATTCCCCTCCCCGAGAAGCAGTGATCCTTTCATTTTTCTAGTACAGACCTGTCTAGGAATATTTCTTGCTCTCCATGATTCTAAAGTCTGTAGTTACTTTGTGCATAAATTCAGCTCATGGTGATTGCAAATGTGACGAGGATTTTGTTGGACAATTTTATAATAATTTACACAAAAGCTTTACCAACAGCACACTAAAAATTTAGTTGTCCAGATGGCCATTGTATGTTATCACATTGCTTGGCCATGGCTCAAGTTGCTTGAACTGTGGTCCTTGTAGCCTGAGCTGTTCAGGTTTGGGTTTATTAGTTTATTTTACACTTTAGTTTGAGGTAGCAGAATTAATATTGTTGAGAAAGCTCCCTTTTTCCTTACAGCACTTTTTAAAAATTACACTAAAATAACATGGAATACAACATCTCTGCACACTAAGAAAATAACCCCATTTACAGTTGAATGCCAAATGTTTGTGTCTCTCCAGCTGACATCTCAGACCACTGGCTGGGCTGTTCTCTTTGCAGAGTGTGAAATTGCAAAAATGTTATTTAAATGAATCCTTGCTTAATGTGCTTTTGAATATTAGGCTCATCCAATGTAGAAAACTATTAAGAATCAGAGCTTGAAAGGCCAACTAACAAGTAGGCCAGTGTGAGGATCAGGATTGAACACACTGTTTCTGTCACTAATAGCTGGGTTCACATTTCACTGTCTGTAGTAAATCTGCACATTCCTCTTAGAGGAACAAATCTGTTATATGATTAATATTGTAGACAAAAGCTGTATTATTTCTGCCAGCTATCTAATGTAACAGAGAAAATATTATGAAGCAAAATAACTTTCAGCTGTTCGTACTGCAAAATACATTATTATAGCATTTCTGTCCCTGGTATACTTATCAAAATAAATGCTGATGAGGAAATAAAACTTGAAAAAAGGCTAAGGTAACATTTTAGAATAAGGCTTAAAATGAATATAGAAGTGTTGAGGAAATAAGTGCATTGTGTGCTAATTGCACTGAAGAGTATAAGAGTATTATAAGTGTTTGCTGGAGAGAGAGGAGGAAAAACAGCCAACCCTTGTGCTGATTCACTGTTGATCTGTTTCTATGCAGCATACCATAAGGGCTCCAAAGGCAGGAGTGATAAAAAAGGTGAATTTTCAAGAAGGTGCCCAGGCCAACAGACATGCTCCACTAGTGGAATTCATGGATGAAGCAGCTGAATCGAAATAAAACTCAAGGAAGGTGCATTTTATTTTTTCTACTTTGCTGATACTCTCTCAGGAGGAGGTTTCTTCACCTTTTTGTCTAAGTGTTTTGTATAACGGATTGTGGAATTGGTTTCCTCTGCACACACTGCTTTGGCTGCCAGTTATTCTGACTGAACATCACTATACTGTAATTGTGTATATAACTTGTGGACCTACGTGGTTGTTGTTCAGTGACTGTGTTTGCCTGTGGAAAGGCATCATAGTGGGATAAGACAGGGTTCCCTTAAAGGAAGGAGAGGTGAGTAAGGGCTCCACTGACAGCAAGGGGTCTACTACCTATTTTTTCATTCTAATATGCCTTTTTTCCCTGAGATGTGAGAGCACTGACATGAAGGAAATCTGAAAGGTTGTAATAATTTCATGAATTAATTTCTCATGCAGAATTCCTGCTTGTGGCCTTATCTTTTTGCCTCAGTAGGGAATTCAGGACTGCTCATAGCCCAGGATCCCTCTGTCTTTTTAGGTGCACCTCTTTTCCTGTTTACCTCAAGGCATAGTGGTAGCTTGCATTTCAAATATTATTTTAATATACTTTGAGATACCTGATAAAAAACATTTTAAGAATACATGGTGGGGATTTGCTACACTAATCAAAGTTGGAATGTGACTGCTTTCCAGAAATAGCATTTGATCTCTAAACATGAAGTAGTAGCACTGAGAGGTGATAAGCTTATTCAATACTTGGAAAGTGTGCCAAAATAAAATACCAGCTTCAAAATCCTCATTCCTTTTCTCACATTGTTTATGTTCCAAAGTGGTATTTATTAGCTGGAGTGTGAAGTACCAAGGTCTCTATAACAACATAAAATATGACTAAGAAAAATATTCTTTTCTGCATTTGTTGTGTTGTAGAAGGGAAAATTTGTAGGTTTTTTTTATTTGTAAAGCAAACATTTCTCAGACAGCATGCAAATAATTTACCAAATATTTACTTGTTTAAATAACAGCTCAAAGATACAGGAACAGGGAAAGAAGAAAGTGTTTTAATTGTGACAGAATTAGAAAATGTTCTCACATTTTGGTTAAGGTGAAATTGTGCTGGTCATATGGACTTTTGATACATTGCTTTTGGATGATAGTGGAGTTGATGCTGCACAAAGGAACAAATACAAATGCTGCAGTGATCCCAAATCTGTAGTTAGATCTTTGCAAGTGGATCCTTATGTATATTTCATAGTCAAGATACAGTGTCTGGGGGGAATTTTCTGCTCAGATCCCATACCTGGCAGCCTTACCTGCGATGCAGGCAAAAATTGTAGAAATGAAATGGGTCTAGGTGGTCTGTATATTAAAAACATTGAGTACTGCTTTTCAGTATCCCTGCTAATCCAGTGACACCTAACAAAAAACAAAATTCAGTGATCATCTTGTAGATATTGCCACAGTGATTTTTATTTACCACTAAATAAAAATTAAGCTTAACTTGGATTGTTTGTTTTATTTTTTCCCCATTTTGTTCTTTCTTTGATTGTTTATGTACAAATGTTTATGTATTAAAGGGTTTTAATCAGCTGTATGTGTATCACCTGATATCTGAGACACTGCAACCCGCAGATTACATTTAGGAAGCAGTAATCTGAATGGTCATAATGGGCTCCACTGCAGATAAGTTGAGTGACTTGTTTTTATTTAAAAATTGAATCTACATACAGAAATGGGAACTTTGACCTGAAGGGATGCTACAGATCTGCTTTTTTTTTCCTGCTTGACATTACTCCATTTCTAGATCTGTTTTATTATGCTGAATCTAGAGCAGACCTCACAGCATGATGTTCTGTGTCCACATAGCCTGCACTGCTTGCTTTTCCCAGCCAATGGACAGCAGCGTGTTCTTAGGAACCTGATGAGATGTTATTCATTGGGAATGAAAGGAGAAAATCATTTATCCTTTTACCTGTTTCAATTTTCCCTTGCTTCTGAAAATTAGCTATTAAGTTTTCCACAATATGGGTTTCACTGAATTTTGGTTTTTCGAATAGTGATGGTTTTGTTTATTTTGGGATTTACACCCTTAGAAAATCTCTTGCAGAATTCACTGTCAGAATTTGTACACTTGAAATAACTGCTACAATGTGATCTAATTTATCTTAGAGAATTATTAAAAGTAGATTATTATTATTATTCCTGCAATCTAGAATCTTAAGTTAAAGTATTCTTTACGAATGTGAACTCTGGAACATTTTCTTGTGTTTTTAATGTGAACGAGTAAGAGCTGTATGATAGTAACATCGATGTAACTGCGCTGTTGTCTGTGGAACGTGTGATGGTTGAGAAAGAAAGAAAATTATTCTTATTGGTCAGCAAGCTTCTTGGTTTTATTCAGCACGTAACCTCCTCCTTCATAATGTGAATGTTAACCATACCAAAGTTACAGCCCTCCTAAGCTGTAGTTGGCACCAGCACGGATCTCTCAGTCAGCTTTGCTCTCACACTCAGCTGCTGTCAACCACTACTCCTCTGATAGCTTAAAGCCAGCATAGGTCTGAACTGTGAGGCCTCAGCTCATGCTGAATTAGTGATTAGCAAAGCAGGAAAGCAGGTCTGTGTTCTTATTTCAGCCACTGACTCACCGTGACTGCAGGCAAATCACTTAGTGCACATATTTGCCTTTGTTTCTTCCTGTGTAATGAGGATGACAGTAATTAAAACGCTGTAAAATTTGTGGACACAAAGACTTTTAAATAATTTTCCACACTTGCTTGTAAAGTTGTAAAGTAAGATTTAGACTTTAAGATTATAACCTTGCAAGTAATAATATGTTTTATAGATTAGTTATTTTTCGCCAGTAAATTTTAAAAATAGTTTCCAGCATGCACTAACTTCTTTATTGTATGGTTTTAACTTCTAGTGACCAGGAAACCCTAGGTTCTGTTTTCAAGATGAGTAGAAAATGAATACTCAAGTGTTTGGCAGGACCTTTAACACTCAGTCAGCAGGAAGGAAGAAAGTTGATCTCAGCAGTGTAATCTTGTATTGAAACAACTTATTCCCCTTTTAAAGGGCACTTCAACTAATGGTTATCACAGGTATATTCACTTCTGTCAGTTGTTATTTTGTTCATTCAGATCAGGAATTATTGACTGTATTCTATCTGTTCTGTTTGTAAAAAGCTCAGCAATGCTGAATGTACTGCGTTTACTGGAATGGTCAATGGCAATGGAATAAACCCTGAACACAGAGCTTTTACACAAGGTATGTTTTCAACAGGTACTTGTAGAGTTATATTCCAAATTTTTACACCTGAAGGATTCACAAGTAAATATCACTTAATGTTTTATGATACCAGGGGAGAGCCTCCTGTGTCAGAATTCTTTTTTGGAAAGTAACAGACACCGAGTGTTGTCCTAGAGAAAATGGAAGAAGTTGAATTAATTATGGTGTGCATTGCTGCCCCTTAAAACAAACAAACCCAATATTGTAAAAACTTGTTAACATTAGTGCAAAGCCATAATGCAAAACAAACAAAAACCCACAAAACAAACATTTATTATGTGGACTGACCATATTTCATGAAATAGAATTTGGGTTCTAAAACGAATGCATATCTTCTATGAGATGTTTGATGTTAACTTAAAAACTGTTGATTATACAATGAATCCACTTTAAAATTAGCACGGATGTTCTGGTTGAATACCCCCTATTTTTTATTACAGAAGTAGGAAGTAAGTAAAACACGTGTCTGGTGTCCTAGTGAGCCTTTGAAATGATAGTGATAGCTGGATTTTAGTTTTAATCTGTTTTCCATATAAACAGTTCTGGTGCCAAAATGTTGTTCTTGAAATGATAATTGGTCTCTGAATGGCAGCTTCTCTCTTTTGAAAAGCTGGGAAAGTGGGAGATGTTAATGTTTATGGTCTGGAAAAAAAAGGCTGCAGCTGAGAACTGCATCTCTCTTGTGCCCTTGGAAAAGGGAAGACAACCTATCCAGTTAACGCTATCCAGCTATCGCTGGAGACCCTGTGCACGTTTGGTGTCTTGTGCTAAGCACCCTGGGAGCCTAAGACATAGGTCAGACAACAGAAATCTAAGATGAGGTACAACGTGAACTAGAAAGAGAACAATTTATAAGTTGAACCTTCATATACAGATGTGTCAATGTATGTTTTCCTTGAAGTTTGCACTGCTGTACTGACATTGGTAGCTAGTGACAGGAAAGTAGGTCACAGTTTGCTACTTAGATACCAGAAAATTAGTTTTGGCTGGATTGTATAGACGTCTTCCCCAAAACCAGTGTGCCATGATGACAGGGTGAACAGTGGAAAAGGCTAAATGTGTGTGACAGGAGGTAAGAGCCATCTTCTACGCTTGCTTTGTATGTCTGTGTTACTCTTGCAGACAGCTTACTTCAAGGCAAAAGGCTCAGTCTGCCATATATAAACCTTAATTACTGTTTCTTATATGAAGAGCACAATGTGTGCCCTGAATTAGAATGATTTTTTTTAATTAAGGTGAACAATTAAAGGTGATACTTACAGAAAATCCCTGTGATAGAGAAACCAATAATGTATCTTATTTTCCTGGTCTTAAAATCCCCCACATGTAGCAAGGATGGCAGGCTATTGACAGTTGAAAGGTGCACGTTTTAATCATTAAAATCATAGCTGTCATGGTGCTGTCTGCTTTAGAGCTTGGAAAACTTCAGCTCATTCTGTTTCAAGATCATATCTTGTTTCAGAACTTCTGAAACAAGAAAATGTCTGTACCTCTTACTGCTTTCTCATTTCTTAGATACTTACATATTCTAAAATCAAGGCATTTTATCTCAGTATTACTATGGTGTTGCACAAAATACAGAGATCTTGCAGTCTGTTGCATGTTAGGTGTGCTGTGAAGTTGTAGTTGATGCAGCACACATGAGAAATGTTCAGACAGTCTGAAGTCCTAGGCTCACTACGTGACTTGTCTTCCTTTGCCACATAAACCTGTCCTGCTTCCTTCCAGAGACAGTCGAGTGGAACCCAGCTCCTAACAGTGCCTTGGACTATGTGTAATAACTTGTTAACCTCTTACATAATAATGCAGGAAGGATGAAAAACTTAATAGAAGGTGAACACCCTTCCCTGTGACCTATTAACAACAATCTTCAGATACTGGCTCTATGCCAGTTTCCAGGTTAAATTGCTTAGACACCTATGGGAGGATTCAGGCTTTATTTTCTTTGTGTTGTTTTGTTTTCTTATATATATATATATATCTGCATATAGGCTGGTATATCAATCCAAAGTGTATCTGTTGAACAGTCTGCTGGGTCTGTACCTTTGGATATTCTTGGAATAGCAGTGAATCTCCTTGTGCAAGGTAGTTTGTAGGACTTTGTTCTCTTAGTTAAACACATGGTTGGTATTTGCAGGAGAAGGGCCATAGTCATAAGCACTTGAAGGCTATTCCACCAGTGTAAGAGTTGGTGGTTTCACTTTCTAGAGAATAAAGTAGCTGAGAAGTGTGGGGGTTAGAAGGACATTTCTAGGCCAAGCTGTTCCAGTGCTTTTTTATCCTTCATGAACCTTTGGGCTTATTCTTTAGAGAGTGCCGTAAGTGGAAGTTCTCAGCAAAGGGATTACGCTAAATGGTTCTGCTTTGACTTAACATGAGAATTACTTCTCTGTCTGCTCAAGAAGACAGCTCACATCAGTCAGTGTAAAACAGAACAGTGTTACATTCAGAACTGTGCATTTGCCATGCACAGTGAGATTAAAAAAAAAACAAAAACAACCAATTGTCAACCAGTTGTCTTTGGTGTTCATATGAGATAAAACATCATTGAATTGCTACGAAATAGTCAGCTTTACCTTGCCATGAATTAGACAAGTCACTGTGTTAGTGTGGTCACTGTGATTGAGCTGCCTGCAGATTACACTATTATTATTATTATTCTGTATCACTGAATGCTTATGTCATGATTACAGCCAGCAGAGTTGTTTATCCCTGCCCTAACTTCCTGTGCCATGTTGGATGGAGCTGTATGAAAGTAGGGAATGTAATGACCTGGGTTTAGACAACATATCCTGAATACATACAAATACTCCTTGTGGTGCCTCTTCCTTTACAAAGCATTGAAGTTTCAGAGGAAAAATAGATGTATCATCTCCCCAAAAGAAAAAAAAAAACAACACAAAACCCAAGTCAGACACCAGGAGATCCTGCAACACTGAAGGCCAGCAAGAGTAATAATAGATGCTCAAGAAAAACAAGGCAGTTAGAAATCTCATCTCTGTGTGGAGGAACCCACCACAATCACAGCTCAGCTCTCAGATTCCTGTTACACACTGCAGTAACTCTCCAGAAGATCTAACTTGTCTTCGGGTTGCAGGAGGGCTGTCACAGCATGTTACCGTGATGGCAATTAGCTAACTCCTGAAATACCTTTGTTTCTCCAGCTGCAGTTGATGTGCTCTTGGCTGGGTGTGGTGACTTGTTTGTACTGGCCACTTTGTAGCCATCTTTGCTTTTAAAAATTAGCTTTTCAGAAGGATTTAAGGTACCCAGGCAACTATTGTCTCTGCGGTTAGCTGAATTCACGCAGTTCGTATCTCTAATATCGTTACAATCCTTAGTTTTACCGTTTCAGACCATCAGCATGATAGGATGTCCCAGGCCAGGCCTGGTTCTCCAAATACTGCTTTCGCTCCCCATTAATGAATGAAATAGACAAAAACTGATTTGCTGGACGTGAAACCTATAAAGAATAGAACAAGATTTCCTAGGGGAAAAAAAAACAACGAAAAACCAACACTCCCTACAATCTATGGGATACTGAAACAAGCTGATCTAAGCCTTGCACCTGCTTTTGCTCCTACACCCGTGCTGCAGCAGAAGCGGCCGCAGCCCTCCCAGCCAGCAGCACGCAGCAGCCCCCGCTTCTCGCAGAGGGCTCTCGCACGTGGAGAAGCGCTGGATTCCGGCCGTTCCCAACACCTGTGACACCGCTGCCCCGAGACGCCGCCTTCCCCACGTGCAGCTGATATCGCCGCGCTTCTACCGACGAGAGCTCGTGGAAGATGCCGCTCGTATTGGGCCGCTGAGTTTCCCATCTCAGCTCTTCTTACGTTTAGAGCGTTCCCGCTGAGGGCTACCGCGGGGCTCGGCCTCGAGCGGAACGCAGAGGCGCCGACACCGGGAGGCATCGCGGCGCGCCTTCATTCCGCCGTTAAGCAAAGCCGGAGCTTCCCTTCGGGAGAACGGCGGTGCGGAGCGGGCAGCGCCGCGTGGGAAGCCCGGCCCGCCGCGGCCCCGGGGCTCTCCGCTCCCTTTTCCGCCACCCCCGGGGCGGCTCCCGCCTCTCGGCCGCCCGCGGAGCGCCCCCCCCTCCCCCTTTCCCTCTCCCTCTCCCCGGGCCGTCTCGGCTCTCCGCCCCGTCCCGGCCTCCCCCGAAGCGGCCCGGCCGCTCCCGCCCGCCGCAGCGCCGGCCCCGGGCACGGGGGGATGCGGCGCACTGCGCATGAGCGCGAGGCGGCGGAAGGGCCCGTGAGGAGCCGGAGCCGCCGCCGCCGGAGGAAGACGTTGACCGCCGCCGCCGCCCTCAGCGCCCGCCCGCACGGCGAGGGAAGGAGCCCCGTGCAGCCCCCACCATGGTGAGCGTCCTCCGAGCCCGCTCTCGCCCCGGCGCCGGCGGAGCGCGGCCGCGCCGCAGGGGTGGGGGCCGCCGGGGCCTGGTCGCGGCGGGCCGGCCGGCCGGGAGCCGCGCGGGGCCGGGCCGCCCTCGGCGGAGCCGCGGAGGGGAGGCGGGAGGCCGGAACCGGGGGGCGGCCCGCGGGGTCCGTCGGGCCTCGGCTCGGCCCGGGGCGGCGCGCCCGCGCCTTTCGGGCCGGGTCCGGCGCCTTTGTGCGGGCGGAGGGCCGCGGGAACGGCGGGCGGCGGCTCGGGCCGGGCGCGGGGAGCGGAGCGGAGCGGCGGGGACGGGGCGAGCGGGGCTCCGCCGGGAGCGGGGCGGCGAGGGGCGCGCGGCGCCGGCAGCGCGGGGGGAGCGCGGCTGCGCCCAGCCCGGCCGAGCCGGGGCGCCTTGCGGAGTTCGGGGTGCCTGCTTTGTGCAGCTCCTGCGAGCGCACCGAGCGCCGACCCACCCCGCGTTTTCTCCGCATTGTTTTTCTCCTGATCGCTCGGGGTTTGCTGCGGGCTCACGCGCGGACCGACTTCGTCCCTTCCGCTCTGGAGGGAAACCGCGGCGATCGGAACAGAAATCGTTCGTTTTGTTTCCCTGAAGTAGGGATGATGATGTTCCCTATCCCGAAGAAAGAAGGTCTGGGGGTCCGTATTGGTTCTCGCGTGCGGAGCAGTGCACCCAGGAGAAGACATTATGGCCGTGCTTTAAGGCCATTTCTGTGTACAGAGGTCGTACAGCTTTAGCTGCATCTGTACGGCTGGAGCGCTGCAACTTATCTCCTTGCAGATATCGGAGCTGCGTTGTCTTAGGGAAGGGAGGGGAGAAGCTCTGGGAACACGTTGGTACTTACTGGTACAAGGGCACCTGATGCTGCAGTCTGTATTTTCTTGACTAGCGGTGTTAGAAGCAAATTAGAAAAAAAATAAAAGAAAAAGGACACCTCTAGCTGTTGGATTTCTCTTGGCGTAAAAACTTGGTTGGCCAGGATTTGAATTAGTGCTGTGGTACATAGACCTCTGATAAACTTGTCGCTGCGTTACCAGCATAGCTTCCAATTGGAAGTTTTATCTAGATTTTTTTTTTTAATGGGAACTGGGAACTGAAGTTTGGTTAGAGTTCAGTCTGTAGGGGTGCCCTGTGGTAATTCTGCCGTTCCTGGGACTGTCTCAATTAACACTTATCTGGTGATGTTACACTACTGTTCACAAAGACTTTTTTCCCCTAAAAATCTCCTGGAGCTGGAGGCATACCCAGTGTAGGCATGCAGAATGTATGCACAGGATTCCAGCTGCGTTATTCGTTTATTTTTGGTTGGCTATGTGGTTAGAAATTGAACAATGCTGTTGTAAGTGGCAATGTTACAGAAACATTATGGCAATATAATAACAGGCCTGTTCTGCTGAAGAACATATTTTCATGAGAAACAGTGAGAAGTTCTGTCTGCATAGTCTTGGAAGCTCCTAGCTGAAGCAGCAGCAGGTACTCCTTCCATCAGACACCCTCTGTCTGTATGGTGCTGTTCCACAGCATGTAGCTGAGCACTATAGCTGTGGCCCCAAGCACAGCTGTTAGGCATTGCAAACAGGTGTTCTCTGTGCTCAGCTTGCTGACTCCAGCCAGGTGAAAGGGTGACCTGCACGCTGCAGGGGGGCTAAATGACAGGCAGCAGCTTTCGTAAGTTGCAAAAAGAGGTACAGATTGAGTCTAGCGCCCAGCTGTGGGACTCTGCACCTACCCTTGGTAGCTACAGGAAAAGCAGGGAGACTTCTTCCCAGACATCTAAAACCCAAAAGCACAAGGCGTAACATCCCAGTTTACCACCACTGTGCACTGCTGCTCCAGCTTGTCTGTCCAGTGGCTCGGTGTGGTTTCTGGGGCTGGGCTGCTCATCCGACACAGCCCCCTCTGCAGCACAGCTCCCTGTGGCTTCTGCTCACCTGGCAGCACTGCTCTCGGGTGCTCCTGGCTCTGAGCCTCTTGTTGGTGTGCTGCAGCCACTGCTTTCAGGGCAGAAGTTTTGTGGCATCGTGGTGACTTTGTCCACTAGGTGGAAGAGAACCCTCATGGCAGCCTGGTAGTTAACTTCACAAGTGGTGTTCAGCTGTGATGGCAATCAGGTGTGCTGCTCCAGCTGTGGCTGTGAGCAGTCTGCCTCCATTTGGTTTGAGCTGGGCACCACCTGTGGTGGCAGTGGTCTCCTTTTATTACTGCTTCAGCTCATGGGTCCCAAGCAAAGAGCTGCAGATCAGGACAGGGATGCTCGCAGCAAGTGGATCTGTTGTGCTCTCCATCTTCCTTAAGGAGAGCTGCTAACATTGCTACTCTGAATGTTTGAATGGGCTTAGAGCTGTGTATGATGCACAAGGTGAGCACATCAGTGTCTGTATCTCTATCTGGAGGCAGACACTAACCCTAACTTTTATATTGTCCAGTTTGCGCGCTCTGAGGAATAGTTCTGTGCTGATGAATACATAATTGTTAAATACTTTTTTTTCATTATGAGCTTCAGGTGACAGGAAGTCAAAGCTCTTGTAATACCGAATTTTAAACATCTGACGTTGTCTCCTGTAATGTTGTTGTACTTCATCACATTGTTATGCGGTGTCTAACTCATGAACTGTTCAGCTGGGCTCTTTTTTATGGTGTGTATTCACGTCTGTAGCAGTTTGTTGGTATGAAACGTTGCCTTTTGGTTCTCCTGTAGTGAAACTCGTGGATTCTTGGCACCGTGTGTAGGACTGAGCAGTCGGAGCAGCAGACAAGATGGTGCATGAGCTCGTTTCCTCTCCCAGCTCACGGAGAACCCTTTGAACTTAGGTGTAGGTTCACCTCTAACAAGAGCCATGGAAATATTACAGGGGAATACAGACTGCTCTGAGAGCAAGGTGTGAAATTCATTACGTAGCTCTTGATATTTAACTCATGTTTTGTGGTACCAGTGCAAATAGAAGGTATGAAAATAGCTTCTAGTGGCTGAACAGAGCTTCTAACCTGGTCAGGGGTTAAGAATGCTGAACAGCTGACAGCTGTATTTTGTGCCTTTTTTTTCTTCAGAATTGCATTGGAAAAGCCCTGATTTGGGGTGTTTCCTTTTCCTTTCAGGTTATCTGAGGGTAACAGAGCCCTGGGACAGGCTGCTTGCGAGGTTTTCTCTGGAGGCATTCAAAACCTGCCTGGATGTGTTCCTGTGTGACCTCATGCAGGTGTTTGTGCTCTGGCAGGGCAATTGGATGAGGGGATCTTCTGAGGACCCTTCCAATCCTTCTGTGATCATGAATTACCTTAAAGCACTACTATAAGTGTTGTATGCTCCTGGATAGCTCTGTGTTGCTCTTCTACAATTATTTTATCCCCTGAAAGAAATTCAGAGGGTGTAAAATGCAACTCTGTTGTGCTGCTTGTGATTTTCCCCTTGGGTTTGATATGCCGACAGGCCTTACACATGTTGGTTGCTTTTGTTCCACTGCAGGCAAGTGGATTCCATGCCAGTGTGGAGATAGCAGCTTAAAGATTCCTGCTGGCCTCCTTTCCATGGCCTTTCTGTGGGAAGATGCTGCCATAGAAAGTAAAATGTAATGGATGGCCACGTTTGTGCGTGTTAAACAAAGTTATTATTTGCTTTAATTGTTCATGTTGTTAACTTGGATTTTTTGGTTTTTGTATTATACGTATGTCATTGCAGTTGGTGGATTAAAGTGTAATTCAGTCTGTGTTCATAGACTTGTGGCAGAAATAAGTTGTAATTAACCTTTGTTTCCTTATCAGACAAGGTAAAATACTCACGGTTTTGCCTTGTAATCTTTAGCCATGGATTTGCAGGCAGTAAACAGGTTATTTGCAGGCATCCCAGGTGTCCATTTGATGGATTTAGCGCAGTGTGGAGTGATTCTGTGATTCAGACACAGGAGGGAGGAATGTTCCCTTGACCATTAATGTCATTAGTGCACGGAGACACGACAGAAGTGACAGCCCTGGGCTGCAAGGCTTTGTGTGCACCAACACGTTCTTCTCTGTGAGACTGAAGTTGTTTGCTGCTTGAGCCAACATCGTTGGTGTCCTCTAAAAGTGCTCAGGTGCTTCCCACAGCCCAGCACAGTGCTGGGGTCAAAATGCAGTCAGGGGAGAAGCCTGGGCTTCGTGGAGATTGATGCTATTTTAGACAAGGCTTTTACCTGTCACATGCATGAGAACCTAACAGGCTTTTCTTTGAGTCTGGGCTGAAACAAAAGCACAGATGTCACATCACTCACATTCCTGCAGCTCGGGAGAAGCAGTGAGGGGCAGGCACTGCCAGCAGCGGCTGGGGGCGGGGGGCACGAGGCAGGCCTTGTTACTTATGGGGGCTGAATGCCTTTCCAGGGTGTGGGGCAGGGACTCCACAGCCTGGCTGCACACTGCTTGTCTGGCAGCCACGTAAAGCCTTGGAGCAAAGTCCAAGAAGAGCGATTTACGGGAATCCCAGGGCTCTGCAGGCCCAGTGCTGTGGGATGGGCTGGTGTTGTTTCCCAGGAACCCTCATGTGGTGCTGTTCATCCAGGAGATGTCGGTGAGCGCTGTGTGCTCCGGCTGAGGTGACTGCAGACAGTGCTGGAGATGAAGAAAGGAACCATGTAATCAGGGCTGGCAGATCAGGGCTAGCATTTGTTTTTGCCTGGAATGGGCAAACGGGCTGTCTGGGATGGAGGGAGCTTGTGTCACAGTGACATCCTCGTTGTGCAAAGCAGCATGGTACCACAAAGGTGTTGGCAGGCTGGCTAACCTGAATCCTTCCCCTACCTCTACCCTAAGGGGTGAGACTTAATAGGAAATATATTGTTTTGTTTTCTGTTGGCTTTTGCTTGCCTGTTTTAGCAAGAAACATATCTGTTCAAGTGAAAATGTCTTTTCTTTTAACTGGCATTAAAGTTGAGATATCCTGAGTGCATGGTGTTGCATATGAACAACTGCTGTGTGAGGTATTTGTTGTCTGATGACTGCCAGCCCAAGGGTTATAGATGCTTGTGGCTTTTGTCCTGCACATTTAATGCAGTCATACTGTCAGAACTCAGCTTCTGGAATTAGCCCTGAGAGATGCAGGGGTCTGGAGACATGTTCCCACCCAAAGTGTGGGGTTTTGGTGATGAAAGAAGAGCTGTAATGGGGTAGTAAAAACTCAGCAGTAATTCCATCTCTTGGTGCCCTGCAGAAGGCTTCCAAGAGCCTCTCCTGTCTCTGGGATGTGAGCATCTCACCCGTGCTGGTGAGCTGCTGGGGAAGCACTCGGCACATGGCAGGAGATCGGGGGCTTCACCAAAAATCAATGCCTGTTTGGCCTGTAAAAATAGCTATTCCAGAAAAAGAGCATGTCTGCAAAGTGTGATTTATTGCATCTTAAAATATTAGGAGATGCTGTGTGCTGTTGTGTTGTTAGCTGCTTGGTTCATTCCATGCTCTTTTTAGAACAGCTCTGTGGTGCTACTGTCACTTAGGGAACCCCGGGCACGGGAAGATTTTGTGTATAAATACGCTTCGGTCAGTATTGCAGAATGGGCTTGATCCAATCTCCCTTCACATGTTGGCCTTCGTGGAGTGGTGTCTGTGCTGAGCTCTGGCAGAGCCACTCCAACCTTCTTGCTGTGGTTTATCCCTGCAGGAATGGGGCAGAACAAAGCCTCTTTCTGCACGTGGTACAGAATAGCGGTGCTGTCTGTAGTTATGTCTGCATATCCAAAGGAAAAAAAAAAAAGAAGGAAGAAAGCTAATGATTAAAGGCATCAGCTTTCTCAAAAGAAAAGAAGCCCGTAGTGCAGGACTGCAGCAGTCTGGCTGTGTGGAGCTCATGTGGGGAAGCTGCTAATTGGTAGTGGCCCTGAGATGGTTTTGTCTTCATTTGGGATTGCATTCAGAGGTTTGTTTTTGTCTGCCTGAATTTACAGTACATTTTAAAATACTGCAACTAAGGATCCATTCATCGTGCCCAAAAATCATCGTGTGGGGCTTCATCAGCAGCATTGTGTTGCTTGTGCAGTTTGAGCTGCGATCAGGAGGAGCTGTGAGGTCAGTGCTGTGCCTGAGGATCTGAGCTTCAGCCAGAGGCTGTGCCCAAAGGTCCGTGTGGGAAACTGATGGAAAGAAGTGGTGCAGTGTCACAAGGAGTGCAGTCTGATGGTGTGTTGCAGGGTGCAGAGCATGTGCTGGAGCTGGAGCTTCAGCCGAGCGTTGTAGGCACAGGGGTGCTTTGGTTTGGGGATGGATTTCTTGTCCTTTTTTTTTTTGGTTTGTTTCTTTTTAGGAGATCCTATTAGTCTTTTTAGCATATTGTGTGGGCATTTATTTATTAGAAAAGGTGTTTCTGGCAGTAGTTTTACTCTAAAGCTGATGCCTTAACTACTCTAATGAATAGCAGCACTCCTGTTTGCTGTCATCAGGCAGAGAACATTTGATTCTGAGTTTATCGTCTATGCTCTTAAGCTGGAGTTCATTTCTTTCAGTGGTGATGTGATTGGGTGCTGATGGCTCCCTGAGCTCCAGCTCTCCCTTCTGAAGCATTCCTGCTGTGGAGAGTTCATAGCTTCTGGGGTGCTGTTTTTTCCTCTTTTTTTTTTTTTTTTTTTTACCTTTGCCTCTGAGAAGGAGTCTTGCACTGGGGAATTACAATAATGAAAGGAAGATACAAATCTGCACAGAGCATAAGGTGATGTGTGGAGTGTGTGTGCAGTGTAGGATGTGCAGTCCTGGCTTGAGAAGTCAAACCTTGCTCATTAGGGGTCGGTCTTCTTTGAATGTGTTGTGTGAACTTCAGGACTGAAATTGGATTTAGTGCAAGAGCTGCAAGGTTGCTTTCTCGTCATCAGCCCTTGGCTTTGCGTAACTCCCCTCTTGGAAATACTGTGTGTATTTATATGAATTAGTTTAAACAGAAACGTGTCCCTGCTTACAGCTGGATGGGAGTTTGCTGTGCCCTGGTGTGCAGAAGGACACCCATGTTTAACTTCTTTCATTTCTCTGCCAGTATGGTTCCTGTAATGCTTAAACTCAGTTGTGTTCTAATGTAAATTACCTAGAAGAAAGGTAAGTTTGAATATATGCTGCTAAAAATATGCTTTGGTGCACTGTACACACAGCAGTAGGAATGTTGCCCTGCTACTGATCCAGCACATCCTTCAGTCTGACTGTACCGGGGTGCTTAGCAAACTGGTCACATATGAAATCTCTATCTAAGTCAGTCAGTCTCACTGCTGGGCAAAATTCTAATGGGCAGTGAATGAATGGCACTGATGTTTTCTTCTTCTGTAAAAACATTTCTAGTTTCTGTATTGTCTGTTTCTGCTAGAACAAGTTGAAATCATCGCAGAAGGATAAAGTGCGTCAGTTCATGGTCTTCACACAGTCTAGTGAAAAGACAGCAGTGAGTTGTCTGTCCCAGAATGACTGGAAGCTGGATGTTGCAACAGACAACTTCTTCCAAAATCCTGAACTTTATATACGAGAGAGTGTTAAAGGATCATTGGACAGAAAGAAGTTAGAACAACTATATAACAGATACAAAGGTGAGTACCTCATTTCCTCGCTGTGTATTGTTAATCGTGATGTGTAAGTTGGAAGGGAAGTATACGTAGGCTCCTGCTTTGCAAAGATGACAGTGTACCCTAAATGTATATCTGTGTGTACAAGGATAGCATCTGGAACTGTGTATTCAGTGAGTACCTGCAATGGTTAACGTGGATTTATTTCTTCTGGGGACACACATTGCTTGGGTCTCACTCCTGGCAAAGAGGAAGGCTGCATACCAATGACAGATTCTCCTTAAATTTTAGTCAGCTTTTGACTTTTATCAGTGTACAAACAGAGCAGTCTTTTTTTGATGTTATACAGGCAGTGTTCAACTGATAGTATTCTACCAAAAATATTAAGGTGAATTCAAAACAGTGGAACACTTAGGAGAGCTGTAACTGACTGCTGCTACATTTTCTGTCAGTTTTCATGTGTGTGCGTAATCCAAACATCATTTCCCTCGAGTCTTTGTCAGCTTGCATCAGTAGATTTTTGTTAGTGCACTTGAAACGTGAGCATCTCACTTCCAGACCAGATGTTGAGTCCTTCGTGGACAGAGCAGTGTGCGTGGCTGACCTGCAGTCGGTAACAGGGCAGTGTGACTCTTCTCTTGGAGGTTACCACGGCCAATCTCATGCATGCAGGTGATGCCAGAGGATGCATAATGCTTCGTACAGCATGGGGAAGTTTGGTAATTGTTTCAGAACAACTTAGGAATGGACACTGCAGAATTGGTTATGATGGTTCCCAAAGACACCAATGATTGAGGCACTGGTGGGGAAGGACTGCTGTTCTCTCTCTGGGATGAGTCAGTGTCATCTGCATTAGGCAGAAACCAAATGTATGTGATGCTTTTGTCTCTCAATAAAATCAAATAAGCTTTGTTGTATGGGAAGCTCTATTGTTGAAACTTCCTCAAACGTTAAGGCTTAAGCGTTGAAAATAAGAAACTAACTTTGTTCTTAAAATGTTCTCTTCTAAAAGCATATCCTGGCAACCTTGAAAATGTTTTTCTTAGACCTTTGTTGAGTAAATGAACTATTTCAAAAGTGTATTTTCTGATGCTTATTTCTATATCCTGAAGATCCTCAAGATGAAAATAAAATTGGTATAGATGGTATACAGCAGTTTTGTGATGATCTAGCTCTTGACCCAGCCAGCATTACTGTACTCATCATTGCATGGAAGTTCCGAGCTGCAACGCAGTGTGAATTTTCAAAGCTGGAATTCATGGATGGAATGACTGAGCTAGGGTAAGTGTGCAGTGTTGGGTACTGAGTGTGACCCGGGGCCAACACTGGATGGAACAGTCCTCTTCTGAAGCATTCAGAATAGAGTTGTTCTCTTTGACTTCAGGGGTTTTCAGAGTCTGGCATCACTTGTCTGCCTCTGTAGAAATGGTGTCTGAGCACTAGCAGCTTACTGACCACCGAAAGGAAGGGGGCATTGAGTGCTCCTTGCCTTGGTTGCATGATGTGGCTGCCAGAGTTATTTACATAGGTAAGGCAAGGGTGTTGGCCAGCAGTGCAGCATACCTGAGTTTTCTCTGCATAATGTGAATGTAATAATCTTTATCACATCTTGTGGGTTAGTACATGCAGTGGGCAGTGTGAAGAAGTAACAACAAAGGAATGAAATAGTTATCTAATCACAGGCCAGTTATAGGCTTTCTGATTTTTATTTTGATAATTGTATTCCACAGTGATGTTATAAAGACTCTTAACGTTGTATCTCTTATGTTATAGCAAAATGAATAATACACAAATAAATGTGCTTTTTAAAATGCAGATGTGACAGCATAGAAAAACTAAAGGCTCAGATTCCTAAAATGGAACAAGAGTTAAAAGAGCCGGGAAGATTTAAGGACTTTTATCAGTTTACTTTCAACTTTGCAAAGAATCCAGGACAGAAAGGTTTAGGTATGTATTCTTAATCATAAATGTTTGTGCATGGAATGTGGGATGACTGATGAAAGCAGAAAGAAACTGTGATTCAGTAAGGCTGAATGCTAACCACCTTTGGGATGATGAAGTGCAGCTCATTATGTGAAAGATGGATGTCAGTGTCAGATCTCTGAGCTGATAGAAATACCTGCATAATTAATATAGACTACAAAATTATATGAGAGGGTTTATTCTCTCCTGGAGTATGTGAAATTCTCAGTAAGCACAAAGGAGTGTGATCTCACATTAAAGTTGCAATTACATCACTTAGAATTTGCAGCACTAAACAAAGTAATTCAGTTTTCACATATGGGGTAAACTTAACCTGTAAAACTGATTTCCATATAAATGCACGGAGTCTCTTGCCATGCTAAAATGCATGCAAATGTCTTTGCAAAGTAGGATTTGCATAGTGCAAGTAGATCTCTGCATCCTGGGCTTGGTGCTGCTGTGCCCTTGGTGCGTGGTGCTTCCCTACCAGCTTTCCTCCATTCAGTGAATGAACTGGCCAGGCAGCAGAGCTCTTCTGCTCACTGTGCTTTTCATTACGTAAGAGGTGAAGTAGAAAGATTGCTTATTAAAAGTCATTTTGGGGGAAAAAAACCCAACATAGACCTGAGTAAATGAACAGACTGCAAATCTGTCTCTTCCATACTGCAAAAAGAAAGGGACAAAATTATCTTTCCAGCATAGCGTTAACCAACTGGAATGCACGTTTGTGTCCGTGCAGTATATCTGAGGTGTTGGCTATAACCAGTATTTCTGGGCTCTGTGGCCATCAACTTCTTACCTTAAGTGTTGTATACTGTTGAGAGGAAATACAGTTCTGAGAGCCCAGCAGGTTCTTCCTTAGCAGTAAATGTGTTTTGTCTGTAATGAAAGATGTTCCTGACCAGCTTGCTTTAGCTGAAAGCTAAATTGTTTGGTTTTGTACTTGCATCTTCTGCTAAAGGGAGACATTCCTCACCCTCGTGTGCTGTCATTCTCAGATAGAATGTATTCAGTAACTGCTTGGACTTCTGCTTAATTTCTATCTGCTCCTGGAGCCCCATGGCTGAAGCCTTTAGTGTGGGATCATACCCTGTGCAGCTGATGGAAAATCTCTGCAGATCTTATTCATTACTTTGGTCGGAAGCTTTACAATGTGGTTATGCATTAACTTTTAATGCATAAATTCTTAATATCAAAGGTGTTAGCAGTTCAGGTGCTCTCTGAGCCACCTCCTGTTTGCCCTCCAGCAATGCAGAGTTCATTCTCAGTTTTGCTTGCTATTGCTTTTAGCTCTGAGGTCCACCTCCCTGTTTGTGTTTGTTTGTGAAGTAGTTGGGGAGCTTGGAGAGAAGGGGGTGGTTTTTGTTTCGCTTCTGGATTGTGCTGTGTTTATTTCTTTGTCCTGAGGTGCAGCTGCTCATGTGCCTCTCCTCTCCCACAAGAGGACTGTTTATGTCAGAAGAGATAAGATGTGCTGCAAAAAGCTCTAAGAGCTCCTGTGACAGGCGGGGTCTCTTAGGCAGCATTTTGTAGTTATTTTAATAACTTGATGATGGATACTGAATTCAGTTAAGATCAGTGTTGTGTTACTGCAGAGATCCTCGTTAATTCCTGGTAATGGAGATCGTGCTAGGTAGCATTTCAGAGCTCTCGAGCTTCTTATTTAAGCAACTAACTCATTACTGTGTGTCTGTAACAAACAGTAAAGTGTGGCAGTTCGGCCTTTGCAAATCCCAGCGAGGCTGCCCCAGCCAGGCCAGGTGAAGCAGTTGTGCGTCTCCGCGCTGTGCTCTAGCGGTGCTCTAACAGCGCCCACTGCTGGCAGCAGCGTGCAGTTGCCCGATAGGCAGCGCGTTGCTGCTGTTCGTGAACGCTTATCGGCTTTCTCGGTCGCTCTGAGAAACAGATTCGAAACCAGAGAACTTCAGAGGACGCTGAAATGCACATTGAGACTTTGATACTCAATCAGTTTTTCAAAGAGAAATCCAGCTGCAGAAATGAGCGCTCAGTAAGGCTGTGTTACAGAGCCGGCACCGCTCTGAAAATGAAATCATGAGGAGGCAATTGAACATAGATTGTATTTATAGTAAGTAAAACAAACCATTCATACTCTGGAATACTGCATTTAATTAATTTCTAGGACAGATATTTCACTGAATTGTCCCTAAGGTACAGCCAGACAGCAAAAAGCATTTGAAATAGCCTTGTTTTGGATGTGTTCAATACGAATGTGGGCAGTTTTCAGTCCTGTGTTGGAGTGGCAGTATTGAAATCTTAACACATTTGTATAACAGTTTCATTTATGGCTCTCTTTCATAGAAGATCCATGCGTATGTTTGCATTAGATTCATCTTTGAACCATAATGACTGTGCAGTTCATCTTAGTGTGAGATGCCTGTTGAGGTGACGTATTGAAATGCATATCTCTAAGAGTAATGTATTTTAATATTACAGATTTAGAAATGGCCATTGCCTACTGGAATTTAGTACTTAATGGAAGATTTAAATTTCTAGACTTGTGGAACAAATTTTTGTTGGTAAGTTTAAACCTTTACAAAAACTGGACTGCAGTAATTTTCAAACCTGCAAGATAAATGTGTTTCTGTTGTTGATGCAATGGGCTGTTTTGACACAATCCCAGGTACTGCGCTTCATAGTGCATGCAAGGGAGTTATGTTCTGGGAGTGTAAAAAAGGTTCTGTGTATAGATTTGTAATGTTTTTTTGTGTGTAAATTTTCCATCCCTACAAACAGGAGCATCATAAAAGATCAATACCTAAGGATACCTGGAACCTCCTTCTAGACTTTAGTACAATGATAGCAGATGATATGTCAAACTATGATGAGGAAGGTAAAAATTTCCATTTTCTTTCATTAACTTTTGTCTTACATTACACTTATTTCTATGTGTCTGCTTTGACACAGCTGTCTAACAGCAGCAGAATTAAAAGATCACTGGTGATCTAAAGTCCAGTTAGAGCTACCCTAATGCATGTTGTTATCATCTGTTTACTGCAGCTTTGAAAAAGAAATGCTGATGTTTTCTTAAACTTGGTTTATTTTTTCCTTCTTAGCTTAGATATTAATTTGTTCTCGAGGAAAGCCCTTCATATGTCCATTTTAAAACATGGGTTCTCTGCCAGTGCAGTTTTTGGCACCTTCGACCAAGTAACGGATTGGGTGGCCTGTGCATTTCCTTGTAGATAATGCATTTCTTAGCCTAGAATACATTCAAAGTTTGATTATTTTGGTTTGTGTGAAGATCAGACATAATAATGTGAAGCTGGCTGCAACACAGCAGTTACTGAACAGAAGTTATTCCTGCACCACGTGTTTCTTGTAAGCTTTTGTATTGATCTTTCCTCTTTCAATCCATCTGCAGCCAAAAACTGCTAATTTAATTTAATAATCAGTCCTTGGTGGCAGATTAGTCATTGAGTGGAGGAAACTGAACTTGTACTTCTAGAGCAGAGGGTAGAAAACTTCTACAACTTGAATAATTTTGAACAGTTCTCATTCCCTTTTCATTAAGCAAACTGGCTGCTGCCAGCCATAAGTCAGTGTGGTTTTGGAAAGCTAAAAGGAGACAAACATGTTCTGGTTATTTGGAATAAAAATATTTTCAGGGCAGGAGCTCAAGCACCCACCTTTACTTTAACCTTTATGGGACTGTGGTGCACAGGAGTGGTGGCAGCTCTTTAGATATCACTGCCTGTAACACGTTAGATGTTGATATGCATTTTAACTACCTCATGATGAGGAATATGGAAATGTAGTGGCTCCTGCCACCCTGGATTATCATGTTGGAGTTGGTTCCAAAAACAGAACAGTTTTATGCTAGAATTTTTATTTGGGTCAGGAAAGTTAAGGCAGTTATCACTCCTGAAGGGGGTTTCTATCAGCAGGGTCTAAGGAAGGCAGAAATCTTTAACCAGCATTTACATTTCAAGTAAGGAAGCCAAATGATATTTTTTTACTTCAAATTATCTAAGACCGGAAAGCAAATAAATTCTTCAGATCCAAAGCTTTAAAAGAAAGAAAACCTGTGTTAAACTGATTTCTTATGCTTTGGTCCTCCTTTTTTTCTTTTTTTTTTCTTTTAGGGGCATGGCCAGTTCTTATTGATGACTTTGTGGAATTTGCACGCCCTCAAATTGCTGGGACAAAAAGTACAACAGTGTAGCACTAAAAGACCCTTATAGAGTGTACATAGTCTGTACAAATACCTGAAATGGAAAATTGCACAGTCAATTTCTGCTGGCTGGACTGAACTGAAGATCAATCCTCACAATGTGCTGAGGGTTGAGACAAACCTTTAAGGATACATCATGGACCATATCATAATTCATCCTTCTACTGGTGGTTTGGGCTTTTCTTCTAGTCTGGACCACTGCTGCCTGTTAAAATTCCAACGTTGTGGATTTCATCATGGATGATTTTTTTTTTTTTTTTCTGGACTGCCCAAGTTTCAGCTCCCATAAGTCCGAGCAGCTTTATAATGATTTTGAGGTTTCTGGTTTCACATAAAGCACAATGCTGGTCATCATCAGACAACTGTTGTATGGCATCTGAATTATACAGCTCAACATCAGAAGAGTTTCTAAAAGAATCCTTAAATATACACTTGGGGCTAGTTGCAAAGACAGTCTTGATAGCACTTCCTTAAAGAGTGATATATTTAAGTGTAACTGGGTCCGATTTTGCTTTTTTAATTAAATTTTTTTCCCTTTTCTGGAAAACTGCAGGTATCGTCTGAGTGAGTGTGAGCGTCCGGTAATAACAGTTACAGAAAGAACCAGGAAAGCTTCAGGTTGTTGATACTGGGGTATCTGGGTGCCTGTCTGCATGGCTTGATTGTGCATCAGCTGCCCCTGAGAACAGAAGTGTGGCACGGCTCCTGTGCGCTTACAGCAGCAGTGTTGGTGTTACAGTCGGCCTGCGAGAGATGAGCTGTGTGTGTAAGGGGAGATTCTGATATTCTTTAGGTTGTCACCTAAGGAAATGGATTTTGTTGCAGTTTTGAAATGCTTCTGTCACACACAAGCTTTCTCATTGCTGTGGAAATCTAAAACTTGAATATGCTGAATTTGTCTTAACGTTTGCTGCACAACACAGCATTTCAAATTCAGGCATGGAACTTTCATGCTTGAGGCGTGAAGAAGCAAACAGTCCTGTTACAATGAGAAGATGGTGAGTTTGATATGAAACCTGGTTTGAATCCATTATTCTGAGAAGTAAGTTAAATCTTCATAATGTAGAGGTACTGCAGCTATGGATGACACCCATTTTTAATTATTTTGTTGAGCTTTCCTTAAATGGACATTTCACTGTGGTTGCCAAATAAAGAAATGAAGTATAAAGCATTTCCAGACAGATACGGATCAGATATAAACTACTACACTGGCTTTGTTTCATTAAGTTATTTTGTTGGTTCATCACTACTTCTCGTTGTCTTACTGCATTTAATTAAACCAAGTTCCTTTTGTTCAGAACAGGTGTTATCAGATGCAATCCTTTATTTTAAACATTACAAGAGAGCTCGTGAGCTGCTGTTGTGCTAAATGTGATCTACTGCTGTGTTGTTACTGGGGAAGAGATGTTCTCTTGAGATCAGTTCTGCTCTGTAAAAGCAAGGTGGAAAATACGAAGCTCTGGAAAAGCAGAAGCCTGTAATTACCATTAAGGTTAGAGGTGAGAGTCCATGTGCTGAACAGTCCCACGGTAAGGTCTGAGTGACTTCTGAAACAGAAACTGGTACTAACAGCAGTAAGCAGCAGAACACTTCTATGTGGATGCTAAAAGTATTTTAGGGGAAAAAAAAAGGAAAAAAAAGACTATAAAATTGCTAAAAATGTTTGTTGCTATTCTGTGAGGTTTGACCACAAGGCTAGCTCCTCTCGTAGCAGTGCCCTCTGAAACCCCATCTGTGCATTTATTTCCAAAATACGGTTCCACAGAAACACTGCAAACTTTCTCCAGCTACTGGAATTGGCTATGCCAAAAAATGTGTGTTTTGCTGCTTTCAGTATTTCCTTTTTAAATTTTGTGTAAATATAAATGGGGACTTGAGATTAGGGGCGGGGGTGTGTGTGCAAAAAGCTCTACAAGGTATCTATGCGTGCTGTTTTCTGTCTTGAGGGTTCTGGTACAGTTTCAGATTGATTTGTTCGTACACTGTGTCTGGGATGAGAACCAACTGTTTTTGTCCCAGGACAGACTTTTCCCTCAAAAGAAGTCTGAGGTGGGGTAGTGGCATAATGCCGTGCTGTTTTAAAGAATATTCCTTTTGAATGCAAAATCTTTTCAACAAAATAGTGTTGTCATCAGTTTGGTACTACGTGCTTATAATTACTGTGTAATTATAAAGAAATACATAAACTTTGACTAATTATGTTGCAGAAAAAGGTTATTTGTGCTATGATGGCATCTTAAGAGTTTTTCAAAAAGCACTGACTTAACAGGGTGTTGTTCTAAGGACAAAATGCCTGGTGAGAGAATATTTTGTACTGAAAAGTCTCAGATATGGCCATGTGGGTTTTTTTTCCTTTAGTTTTGTTTTTTTTAAGAATGCAGACAGTTGCTTCCTTGAATTGCTTTAATTCGTAAGTGCTTACGTCCTCAATCTGACCATCTCCCCTTAATGGATCAATTTAATTTTGCCAAATGTGAGGAGAAAAAAAAAGTAAACATCTTGTTTATAATCTGTTTTTATACATTAAATATGTACAAAAATTGAAGTGCCCTGATATAAAACACTCAATGTCAAGATTATATTTAGTAAAAAAACCCATCATTTACATATCTCTGTAAGTTCAAATGTAACTTCTTACAATCCCTCGCATTACCAACAGAGGCAATAAAGCTCCAATGAAATTGCCATGACTAAGTCTTCTCATGCATTGTTTCAGTGTATTATTTGTAAGACATTTCTAGACTGTTTTTTAACCACAAACACACGAGAGTGGAATATTTGTCCCTTACATAAAACACACACTTGATTGCAGGTGAGTCTTTTTTGGGGGAAAATATCTATGAACTGATGCAATGTCTTGCCTACTGCTTATGCTGAATGTTTACAGGTACAGAATGGAGCTTTCCTTACCCAGCTGTGCTGCATTAACATAACCTAGCATGCAGTGGAAGACACCACACACAGTGCATTTGTCTAAGTTGGGTTAAAGACTACAGTACCATAAAGTGACTTTTTTTTTATTGAACAACCTGTTAATGCATAACTTATGAATTGCTTCAAAACTGTTTTACAGTGAACTCCTTGCAGGGGACCTTATTTAAGAAAAATATAATTTTTTAAGAATGCATTTAATAAACTTTTGTCATTCACACTTGGTTTTAAATAACAGTGCCAGATGTCTCTGTAGATTTTATGTGTGTGTGGTAATGCTGCCTGTATATGATTTAAGTCCTCTAAGAGCAGACAGTAAGAGCAGACAGCCCAGTAAGTAGTTGATGAAATTGCTATCTTAGAGCTGGGTGATTGAGAACCAACAAGTGAGAGCAGCTAAGGAGCTGGACTCTGCAGTTAGAATGGCTGAAGGGTGGACAGTTAAACAGGTACTTGTAAATGGGTGTTTCTGATGTTCTGCCAAGTATTTTTTCCTCTAATAACCTTATACTACAGTTTTTTTAGTTCTCATCATAGGTAGCAAAAAAAACTGGTACTTCATGTTTCCCTTTTAAGCTTAATTCTATGTCTTTGGAACATGACATGTCAGCCTTTCTCCCAAAGCATTCAAGGGCAGAAGGCAAAATACCGAACAGGAGGACTGTTAAAGAAACCAAAGCTGAAGAAAGGAATGTGAAAGGTAGTTGGCAAGGTAAAGTCTGTCCATCTGTCTGTCCAGTTGTCCATTTGTTTCCATCTGTCCACACAGCCGTCTGTCAGTCAGTCCCTCAGGTTCCATGTCTTTGTGTAGCTGTGTCTCAGTGCCTGTCCAGCTGTGTACCTTGTTGGACTGTACCTGTCTCCTCCTCTGTGACTGAAGGTGGGGATGGAGGGGCAGCAGCCTCACTGCCCTCAGGCATCCTTTCCTCTGACCCGCAAGTAAAACAATGACTCAGCTGTAAGCGAAAGTTTTATTTAATAAATATAATTAATTCATTTCCATAAACCATAAAGCAACTTCTACTGCCCGAGCTGCACGATGCGCAAGCACACAGACGTGCTGTCAGCGTCAGAAGGAACACGAGGCAGCCACAGTGTCACAGGTCCAGAATTCTTAGTACTAATTATTGCTACAGTTTCCAGTTGGCAGTGATCCTTAATTGCCTAAAATTAAGGATCAACTTCATTAAAATGGTACCCTCACATGCTTTTCCTATTCATGTTGGTTTTTTTCTCAAAAAATAAAAAGGAGCAAGGAAAACTGGATGCCCCTCCCAGGAGGAAGGAGTGAGGGTAAGTGCACATAAGAACTGAAATCTACAATAGGAAACATAACTGGAAATCGAAAAAATCACTTCCTTGCCACAGCTATGGCATCCTCTTTGTATCTGAAAGTGAACTCCATTATAACCCATACCAGCAAGAGGGGAAAATAGTCATAGATGTATATATTTTTTTAAACTCATTGCCACAATGCAGAAAAGATGAGAATGACTGAACTCTGCTGCTACTCCAAGTAAAAATGCTGAGGAAAATACACACTGCATCCCATTCTGGTGAAGCGCAGGGCTTTGTTTAGGCTACTCACACTGCTGTAATCTACAATATTTTTCGTCTCTTCTCACTTCATGTTACATATAGAGCTCTTTGGCTCACAGCCCATCAGTTTTATTCACGTCCATGCATTTATACAAACCAGAAACAACAACAAAGAAGTCGTATCTACAGTGACAGTTTTATATACTTATTGTAAAACAGCGAGGTAACGTGGCAACACCTAGAGCCGGGCGAACATATCAAAGTGATGAGAACATCCCTTTTAACAAAAGCCACGGAAGCGTAGGCAGCAGAGCCAGTGCTGGCATCTCTATGAGCAGCTGAACAATCTAGGGGAAGCAGAAGCCTTGTAAATATCGATGCGAATGCATGTTTAAGCTGATCGAGGGCAAGAGTTAGGTGGTACAGCCATGAGCATCCCATCTTTCCTCCTGTTTTTAAATTGAGTCAATCAAATAGGAAGCAGAAAGCAGAGAAGTCATACCACTGGAAGCAAACAAAAGCAAAGAACATACAAACCAGCCAACAATAAAGAGTCACAGAAAAAAAAAAGAAACAGCCTGCAACAAAAGTCTAACTAGGAGATAACTTAGAAACAAGAGAAGGCTGAAATTAATCTGTATTTCAGGATGGCTGGTTCACCCAGCTCTAGGAATGCATCTCCATTAAAAAAAAAGTAGAACAAAGCAGCAGCAGGTGCAGTGCTGGTGGTTATAGCTATTATTATTTTCCAGAGCAAAAGAAGAAGGACATCTTAAATGGCTCAAAAACATATTATGATTATGCATTTTTGGACACTAAATTTCACCAGTATCAGTAGTAAGTATGGAAGTGTCAAAGAAAACAATTAAAACTATTAAAAATAATATAGACTACTGATTCAACAGCTTTGAGACACTCCAAACACTAGAAAATGAGACTTTTCCCCCCTCAATATAGAAGCTACAGTCATAAAAAAGGAGGTTTGGAAAGTATTACTAAAGGTTCCCGGTAAGAAATTATGGTTGCCTAATATATATGCATTCTGAGTTGCATAATCTTTTGTAATAGAGAACAAGAACTCATTCTGAGCTCTCAGCATCCCTTCCTTTGCTTTATTTATTTTTTTTTTTAATTCCCTCCTCCATAGCCTTAAAAAATACACGGAATATTTTAAGCAGAACATATACACATTCTAGTTTGTGAACAAATAATAGGAACATATTCCCACTCCATTTTTTCTACTGCATGGTTAAAAAGCCTAAGTCTGGTAACTTGCTTTAAAAAACTGCCTGCTTTCCTGCCACATGTTATGGGTTTCAAGGCTGAGACAGCTCTCTCATTTATTTCCTTCCTATGGCAAAGTCTCCCTCACCATTAAATCAGAGCTGAATTCTTCATTAAATGGAGTAAGCTGTATTTTGTGCAGTCGTCTTTGTGAAGACTGACTAACTTCTACAGTAAACTCAGTGCACAATGAATGCTTCATACACTTTTTAACTGTCAGAGAAACACACAAAAGCTTTCTTCCTTGAGCAAAAGCAATTCTCAATGATCTGTGACACATTTACAAAAACATACGGTCCTAACTGTTTGCCAGACCAAAAATCTGGTCGTGTGCAAACCGATTCTACACTCATTAAATGATAAATTACAGGTTTAACTTAACTTGTACTGCAAATAGAAAAATATACCTTGGCAGACAGATGGATTCTTAAGTTCTTCCTGAACTGTTTAAATGCGTGTTTCTTCGGTAACCTTACAAACACTGGGAAAAGGGAAAGCAGGGGAAGAGGAACAAGAGGAGATGGAAGGTTTTAAAGAAACATATATAATGAATGTAAATTATTCTTCAAGTACAGGACTGCATCTTCTGTGCATATAATCAACATATTTGTATGGTAAAAGCCAACAAACATTTCTGTACAGAGCCTGACCCAATCTAAATGCTTGGAGCGGGGTTATCAAACACTCTGACGTTCCTACAGTTAAGCACAGTGTCTATTTCCACACATGGTGCACCAGCCAGACACACAGATGAGCTACTTGATGAGGCCCAACAGTCACACACTCTGCCTGGGTGCTGCGGGGACACAGACAAACACACACTTCTGAACAGTGAAACACGGTGGCTTACACACAAAAGATGGCAAAACAGCAGATATCTGTTAGAGTTTTTAAAAACGTCTTAGATATTGATGGCAGTTAGAAGACTTGTCTCAGAATGAGAAACTGCTAAGAACAGGAACTTACTTGGGCCAATAGGGGAAACCCCTGAGGTGTGCTGAAAGCAGCTAATGCTGGTTCTGTACAAATCTCAGGCTTAATTGTGTCTTCAGTTAAGAAGTTCTTACAGGTTCTATTTACAGGAGCTATTTACAGTCTGTTTGATTTAGTTTCTTTCACTGAGAATTTTAATACATGGCTTTTTACCTTCTGCTGGCTGGCAGGAAGATTCTTTCAATAGTGATGGGACTTCTTTAGAGACTGACTTCAAACTGGATTCCCAAACAGCTGTCAAACACAGCAGCATTTTTCCTGGCCTGCACCTGAGGACTACCTAAGACAAAGCTCTAACCTCCATTTAGCTCTCACATCTAAAGACTGACCCCTAATAGCTCTGGCCAACACAGCAGAACAAAGAGGCAAATGTTGTCACCCTTCCCCAAATGAGAAATTTATTTAAACTGATGAGAGGAGAAAAAAAAAATAGTACCTGCAAGATGTATCATGTACCATTCAAAGCTGCATCGGTGCAATTTGTTTTTATTGACATACTTAGGTATCAAAACACTGCCACCAATGTCTCAGATCCTTCAGATATATGAAGATAATTAAGCATTAATCGCATCTTCAGCGTACAGCACGGCCAAATGTAAATACATGAGAAAGAATAAAACATGCAAAGATTCACCAACGTTAAAAGGATTCCTCGTTCACAAATTTATGCTAGTGAGGTACCTGCACGAGCCACCATTTCTTACCCATTTTTCCACGTCAAGTTTGTGAATGGTTAACGAAACAGTTGTTAGAGAAAATGCCTGGCTTTGAATCACACTTCAAGAAAACAGTGACCTGTTAAATCCTCCTGACTCCAAATGACCGATGTACGCTGTTTCTCAAAGTGATGACCAACAAAATTGCCATTCATACACCAGCATAAATATTTGAATAATATTTATCTCTAAAAAATTACTGAGTATTTAAACAATTTATAAACCGTCCACGGAAACAATAAGACTGACCTGCAAACCCCTAAGATCGCGGCTGTAAAAGACAGTTCAAACCGAGTGTGCAGTAAAGGGCAATCTAATTTCATTATGTTCCACTTACGTATCATTGTGCAAATTCTATCTGATGGCTTGGATTTGGGAGGAGAAAGACTTTGCACTGTGCCATACCAGCATCTCAAATATCAAATACAAAGTTCCAATCTGCTCATATGGTGACAAAAAAGATTTAAACGGTGAGAGATAAAAGCATTTCTTACAAAAAAAATTTACTTAGCAATACTTTGGGATATCATTAGAAAAAATATTGGAAGCAAATGCAGTCCAGATGACCGCTATGCTTGGCTACAGGACAACCAGTCTGCCTTTAAGACACACTAGCCCTGTCTTGGGCAGGGATGTAGCACTGAACTCGCTTCAGAACCTACTATAGGTACGTGAGCACCTCTTGGCTTCCACAAGGTATTTACAAGTGTCCCTGTTAACAAGTGGGTGAGTCCATTGTGGAGAGAGTCAAGATGCTTCTGTCGTTGGCATAGAAGGGATCCGATGAACTCCATGATCTAAAGTAACAATAAAAGAGAAGTTTGGCTGACTGGGAACTTACAAGCTAGAGGCGAGGAGAAAAGTCTATGAAAGCAAAGATAAAAACGTTATGAGATTAGGCTCATGTAACCCTTTAAAAGTCTTATCTATTATTTCATGTAAACACCCGCAATTCATTTTAACCTTGGAAAGTATACTGCAATTAGTAAATCCAACTATGTAATTAACAATTCCACATTTGCTAGAAATGTAAAATTAATCAGATATTTTCATTGCTAAAAGAGGCCTCTAAGTCGCTTTACGACTACATTTTTAGTGCTGCGCCTCAACCACAGAAAACAAATGTTGCACACGTAAGCTGAGGCACTGAGAACACTGCAGTTCAACTGCCTGAGGACGTTCAAGTACAGCTTTGCGGTACGCGCAGCCAGCCACAGTATGCCAGTTCATGGGTGTTCTGATGTGAAACACTGCCTGAAGTCACAGGTGGGCAAAACCTTATCTACAGACATGAGGTTATTTCAACTCTTACTGTTAAATTTAAGTTAAATTTTAAGGCATTGGAAAGCTAACATGACTTCTCATTCAGATATGATCTCCCAACATCTTTCTCTCAAGGACAGATTACTGCTTCTAGTGCACAGCAACCACGGTTTTTCACTGAAGGGCATTATAGGACTGTACATGAAAAGCTGAAAAATAAGAAATTGGAAGGCAGGGAATCTATACATAACAACTTTATCCTCCAAATGTGTCTTCTCTGTCAGAAATCTGCTGTTTCTTCAGAACTTTTACATGCAGTGCTTTGACACAAGTACCACTCGTGGGAGAGCCAACAACTCACAATGAATCCTACCGTACAAGAACGTGAAGTGATCCAGAATTCCTAATGTTTTAGTGATTGACAAACTGACAGACAATTTAATGGGACAGACAGACAAAAATGCATTTTATCATACCATGGCACACGTTTCACATTCTAACCGGTGAATGAAACTACTGCAAATGCTTCTTGAATACATTTCACAAGCATGAAAGTACTATATTCCTGTAGCCCTCTACTCCAAGCATTTGTACAACTTTGATCCAAAGTTTCTAGGAAAACCTGATACCGTATTTGATTTCAAGTTCTCATACCTGACAGAAGATCATACTTGACAGATTATAATGAGCATAAGGTACAACACAACCTATTACATCAACACTATTTTAAACACTGCTCTTTATTTCACAGCACGCTTACAGCCAATCTGCAGCTACCTCCTGGCTGAATACAGAGCTGTTTTATGAAGCACGCGTATGCAGAAGACTGTCCTCTTTAGGATCACAGGATCCTCTGAAAACATCAGCTCCTAAGTTCAACGAAAGCGGCCTAGAACTAAGTTTTACAAACACTTCTGAATTGCCAAACAGCTTTGCTAAGCACACCTTCAGCACTTTTCAATATGTAACTGTTGAATGTGATTACAGCAGAATTAAACAAAGACTATAATTCATTATATGGCAAGTGTAAGGGAAGAACGTAAATAGCCTTGACTTTTAACAGTACCTGGACTGTTAGAGCAGCTTTTAAGTTATAATGTAGTACGGATGGAACTGAAGTCACCAAAGAAAGCAAGTGAGAACTAAATTTTAAGGAGCGTTCTTTTTAGTTCTCCTGTTCAGAAAATTAAGGGAAACTAGAAAGTAGCTCTGAATAATTTCAACCGTAGGCAGAAGCAAAAGCTACAGAGCTTCAGGCCCTCAATGCAGCACCAGGACAGTTCTGCATGAACGTTAAACATTCTAAAATTACTGAGCTAACTGGAACTTCATTTGAAAATGACGAGGTAAGCAGACAAGAAACCTGAGAAAAAGCTAACTTCAAAAACTGACCAATATTCTGTCAAATATAAATCATATTCAATAAATAGTTTTCAGCAAGTTCTTCAAGTCAGTATATACTGAGTGGAAAAAGAGAAAAATTGTAAAGATGTAAACGCACTGCAGAAAATAAAACAGAATACCTACCTTGTATTACTACACAAGTTCTTTAAAGGGAAATGTTAACCAAAAAATTGCTTCTGATTAGATAACAATGAATTTGAAAAAGCAGCATGAGAAGTTCCTCATTTGGAAAGCAGTTTTACAAAGAAATGGAAAAAAGAAAAACCCAAACAAACCAAGAGCTTAGAGCAATTACCATTAAAATGTTGATTTCCAGATCAATTCAATGCTCATCTTGTAGATTAAAAATTCTACTAAATTGTTTATTTTACACATCATGCTCGCCTTCTATACAGCAAATTTTAATTAAAAGCGTACTTAATCATAACAGTTCATTTTCCATACAGAATGAAACGTTGCATAATTATTCCCTCGACACGTAGAAATGTTGAATAAATCTCATGAGCAAGTCAGATGAGAAACCAACTGAAATCGCAGACAGCGCTCAACGCAAGAGTTCAAGACAGGGACGTGCTGTGTAACAGTACCAAAATCAGAACTGACAAAGCTTGTCAGTGAAAACTGCCCACACGAGATTTCATACTGAATGAATGATATCACGACCTTTAAGCAAAAGTGACAAAGTCAAACACAAAATAATTTTCCCTGAAAACACATGAAGCGCAGCTCTTTCAGGTTTACCTTTTGACCAATGAAGGACCATGACATCATTCAGGCATTGAGAGATTATGATGTACAAGAGACTATAATTATTTCTACCCCCAAATATTTCCGTATTTATGAGACAGCTCTCTCTATTTTGAAGTGGGGAGATGGCACATAAGCAGGTTTACTGAGAGCTTCTTTCCCCACAGTTTTGCTCACTGCAAGAGCAGTACCGTTCCTCAAAAATATTTGATTACTCTAAAATGCTTCCATCTCACTGAGGTTTGTTTCACACGTGGCTTGTGAAGGAAAAGATTTGTTTAGCACATACTTTGGAATGGCACGTATGACTTTGACACCTTCTAGAACTGAAAAAAAAACATTTAAAATTCTTAGAACCTGACGTTCTGTTCCATCAATTACTGATTTTAGAAATAGAATATAAAAGTTATACTACAAAAATATTTAATCTCCATATCAATCAATGGCTGAAAGATTTAAAGACTTTCCTTATAACAACGAAGTTATACTTAAGGAGGGGAGTGTGAGCCTTTAGTATCTCTTCAGGAGTAATGCAAGCTCCAAGGTAAATATTTGGAGGTTGTACATCAAGAACCATGGGGAAAAGTCTTTTGACTTTACAAACAACTCCTGATTTGTGAAGGCAAAAAAAAATCATAAAACAGGAGAAGAAAGCAGCAGCAAGGCTTGATTATCTAAGGAGAAGAACGTACAAAAATCAAGAGAAATTAAGACAGATACAACTCAAGAACTGCTACTAAAGTCAAACTAAACAGTTTAACAGAAGTCTTTGAGAACCGTTTTTCTCCCTCCCGATCCCAAAAGAAAACACTCAAAGAGAAGCAAGAAACTTATCTTTTAGGATGAATAAAGTACAATAAAATGTTGCACTTCCTACTTAAAGAGAACCTGCAGCTGGTTTGCTACGCATCTATAGCTGCAGGCTCATCAGGTTCCAGTTTATAGGAGAATCGTCTGCAGCAAAGGCTATTGAGAGAAATTCCACACCTGTTGACCCGGGTTGGACTACATCTTCCCACTAGTCGTTCCAGCATTCTTCTAACAGATGTGCATGCTGTTTCCCCATTTGAGAAGCAGCACATGGAGTCCATGCAGTTGATACTTGAACCTGTCTCAGTAAGCTGGAAAGATAAAAAAAAATTTAAAAAAATCAGTATTTGCAGATACTATCAATAAAGATGTCATCAGATATCACTTAGAAAAGGGAGGTTTTCATTAAGTTAGTGTTGAATATTTTTCAGTCTTACAGAAGTACTACAACCACGTTCATCATTTCCCCTCCTAATTCCCATTTGATCTTTCCAACGTTCAAACACAGTCTTGCTGAGCACATGGAAATTCTTTAGCATCATCTCAGCTTAAAATGAAGAGAAACTGGTTACCAATTCTCTGTAGTATAGCTGTAATGAATCTCTGGAGTTTGAGCTGTCCAGCCTTGATTAACCTCAGTAGAGGTAAAACTTATACAAGCTTCAGGTCTACTCCTTTTTAAACATCTATCATGAGAAAGCTTCAGATCAAAGCTGCAAACAGTGCAGCAACGTGATGGTAAGTGTTAACTATTCCTCAAGAAGTGCAGAATACAGCTTTCGGTACAAATTTATATCCTAGCAGTACCACGGGTACCCTCTTGGCTTGGTTAGAAAAGCAAATTCCCAATTTGGTGAATATCCTACATAAATACAAGTCAGTCTGATGTTAAAAAGGCTTAGTCGGGCTCACGCTACTATGAGGAACAAGTCAACATCAGCATAGAACGCTATTTTTTATTCTTAGTGCACGAGAAAATGACTCAAACAAAATGAAAGAAATTACACAGACACAGAGGAGTTTACAGAGGAGCACATCTTTGAGTGCACTCCATTGTTCTTGAGCACCAGTCAACTGCAGCAGAACTAAAATTCAACTAAAATTTAGCACTGTTGGGCAGAGAATATCCCAAACTGACTTCATTATTCTTTTCAAAAAGAAATAAAAAAGCAGCATGTGGAGATTCTTTCCAACTTAATTTAAAGCTCCCCATGAGAGCATCCTGACAATCAAATGCCAAACATGTTGGCTACACTTAAGCATCCGCTATTGTCACCTCACTCTCACAAACCTGTGAATGAGGAGACCTGGGGAGAAGGCATCTCAATTGATGGCAGAGCACAGCTCACTTTTAAGAACATTCCCCAACATTTCACTGTGTGACAGAACATCACTGACTGTTATGTCTGACTTTGGAAACCAAAGCCTCAATTTCTTTCACACCACCTGCACTTGCTTAATATTGGAGGAAAGCAAAGCACCTCAGTTTGACATCAGAGAATAGTTTTTGCTAAGGGCATACACCTTCCTTCCTAACCCCCTACAAAACAGGCAACTGATAGATTAGTGTTTCGTAACAGTTTCTATTCTAGAAAGCAGCAGCAGCCAAAAGAAAGAGAAGGCTTTTGGAAATCCAAGAGAAAAAAAACAGTTAGAATGAGGTATGCTGGGGGGGCACACAAGCAGCAATGGGGCCACATGCATTGTTTCCTATACCTGTCCCTTTCTCAGCTCTGCTCAACATTCCCCACATCCTTCCAGGCCCCTTCCTGGCACACTGCTCAACATCATGCTTGAAGGAAGGTCAGCAGTTACATCAACTTACAGAAAGCAACAAGGATTACAGACTGAAACCTTTGATGCAGTTGCTGTGTATCGGATGCCATGGACAAGAAGTGCAGTCAGAACTCCCACTCATTCTGTAGGTCTTCCGGACACGTTAACATTTACTAAGACAATGAACTTCTGTAAGCACCTGAGAGACAGGAGCATTGCAACTGACAGTTCTGAAGGGGGTTTTGGTTAGAACAAAAATAAAACGAAGGGCTCACATCCCTGAATTCCCTTATTTGACAACCATCACATCTATTCACAACTATACTGTCAGAGAAGATACCGTGATAAGGAACAGCATAATTTACAGCAGTGCAGTGAAAGCAAAAACAACCTTCACAGCACTTTCATACTCACAGAGCATCAGACAATAAATTACACAAAGCAGAAGGAATTCTGAGCAGAAGCTAAGAAAGCAAGCTTCCTGCTGAATATACAGCCATCTTCACTTTGTGTATGCTGCAATGCAAAACAAATTCTCAATATTCCTTCCCCTAAGATTTCAGAAGTCCTGACACAGAGCAGTCCAAGATGTCATTAAAAGATGGGAACGAATTGCGACGAGTCACGCAAACTCGTTCTCAAGGAGTGAGCCTTCAGCTCTGGATTTTAGAGAAATGCTCACATCTCCTCGGTAGGATCTCATTGCTCTTCTCAAGTTTTGAGCACTGGGCTTTGAACAACCCGGTCTAGTAGGAGGTGTCCCTGCCTACAGCAGAGGGGTTGGGAAGAAAGGACCCTAAAGGTCCCTTCCAACCCAAACCATTCTATAATTCTGAGTTACCAACTAAAAGCTGGGGTCATACTTGAACCATGATTTATGGAAAAGCTGTTGTTATCCTTTCAAAAAAAAAAAACAACAACATGATCTTATATAGCCTTCACACATTTATCTTTTATCAAATTCACAGCTAAGTCTAAAATAATACAGGGCAAGCATTAAGGACACATGAAAGTACATTCTATTTTATGTGTAGATATGTTGCGTATCACTGTCTAGCGAGCATGGATTTTTATATTTATGCCCACTCTACGGAAGGAAGATATATTATGGTAAAGACTCCCTTTTCTCACTTTCCTCTCTATGGCAGACAGTTACAATCATAGGTCTATATCCAAGTAAAACCTGGCATGGTAAGGCAGTAGAGCATAATAAATCTCCGAAGACCTGAAATGCACCCAGAGGAAATGAAAGGCAGGAGAGTCAAAGCTTACCAAATTAGAACGTGGAAAAATACCTGATATTTTTCACATTGGGCTGGAAAAAAAGTGTTTTCATACATTAAGATTTGGGATCACAATAACATAATGCTTTATATGATAATGGACTGTTTCATGTAATAAATCAAAAAGCTGAAATGCTGAATTAAAGAAAGATTTCATTTGAAAAAGAAAATCAAACGCACATATTGTGATGTAAATTTTCTTGTAGATATAAAAAATATGGGTATTTTGGAGATGGCTCTGTGACTGTCCACAGAATGATATATAAAAATAAATATACACACACAGTAGGGTAGAGTGGGAGTACTACCTAGTGAATGTAAGAACTGTCCTGTAGGCTAGATGGATCTAGCAGTTGCCTATTGTCCTCCCCTCTGTGTTTGCTTTCAGCAAAGTCACATGCTGAGCTGACTGAACCCTTATCTTCTTCCATCTAGAAGGATAGAAAAGCAACAAATCTTATAAAGAACCATGCTTGCATTGTTTTACAACAGTCACCATATTTATATAGGAACTTGGATTTTACAGGTCTGTTCCTCAGAGAACAGAGCACATTTAAACAGAAAAGGTAAATGGTCTTGAGTTAACTGGTAACTCAAACACAGTTTATCAGTGCACAAGTATTATAAAAGTTTGGTATTTTTGTGCACCACAGACTACAGAAGGGGAAACACAACAAATCTGAAATCCATTTCAAATTTTCAAATTCTGGTTTCAGATTCAGATGTTTTCCCTTTCCAACAAAAAGGATCACTGCAGTTTGTTCATCTTATTGTTCTGTTTGCCACACAACAGACCATTTCAACTAAACATTTCATCACTCTGAAATATGCAGTTGGGACTTAATTAACAGGAAATAAACTTAGCCCTCTACATCAAGGTAAGAACACTGCAGGTTATCTTCCTGCTACTTGCTACCAACGTTTGATGCCATACAGATGTTACAGAAGATACATGGTATGGCTATTGCTATTCCACAATTAAGCTGAATCTTTATTGTAAAGCTCACTCTTATTTGTTTTCAACCTATAACAAATTACGTACCAAAATATCAAACAATTAGAAAGCTTTAGAATTTTAAGAGAAAATATGAGTAATGATATCTAACAACTGCACTGGCACTTCCAGTTTCAACATTTTTCTAGATTTTCTACTATTCACCTTTTTTGAAATAAGTCAATAAATTGATATTTGGAAGTCTGCTTGATCCAAAGAATTAGAAAAAAGTATCTTCATGTGAAGTACACATGTGACTGAAGATAATTAAGAAATAATCTACTCTTTTTTATTCCTTCTACCTATGAAAAGTTCCGTGGATCAGCTCACAGACCAGCACCACTCCATGCTAACAATTAACAAACCTGTAAAGGAAGAGCTCACAGACTGTTCAAAGTACAGCAAATGAAGGTGTTCTGAGATATTTCACTAGTGTGCACTTGCATAGGTTTCTTATATGCACTTGCATAGGAAATTAAAATGAGTGTTTTCTATAAGGAACATATAAAGAAACAGAAAACTTCCTGCTCTGATTTCTACACAGCTGGTCCGGATCAGATATGACAGCTATTTGGAGAGAAATAATACACAATAGCAACTAGGGAAAAAAAAACACAACAGACAAGAAATGAAGGCCCTGAAGCTAGGGCAAGGAGTTACATCACAGACAACTAGAGCAAGCAGATCTATACAGAAATGAATGAAAAACATGGCAACAATAGAGTCACAGCAGGGCAGATGGGGGAAAACAGTCTTGGCTGTGCTACATAAGTGCTGGTATTCGAGAGCCCTGGATAAAATGTTATGCACCAGTGGTCTTCCCTAAAAATAAAAATCTTGCCTGTGATTTTTATTTCCTGGCATTTACTGTTGAAATGTAAAATGTAAAAACTGTATAAAGGCAGTTAATTCCATCAGTGATTAGAATCAGAACATGCATCTGAGCAACACGTCTCACACGTAGCATAAGATTTCTGGCAGTTCTTATAAAGCACAGAGACACTGCACGTACACATTCACAATCTCACACACCAACTTTGTTTACAAAGAGAAAAACGATATGAGACATAATGGGGCCTACTTAATAGCCCAAAACAATATTTCACATGCTCCAAGAACTTCAACAGAGATGGCTACAGAAGAAAGAGAAAGGAGTTTGCTGAAGCACTCGGCCATCAACCTCTGCTAAAGCACAAAGCCTGCACCTGAGTGTGCTGCCTCATCTCCTTTTCCTCCCACACTATAGCAGCAACAGCAC